ATAATTATGTTCATAAAGTGCGAAAACTTGTGATATGATGTCAAAGATTTAAGTCAAAGAATTACCCCTTAACTGATAAGAGAGTGAGTGACTAGTTTCCTCTGATCACCTATGAAAATTTATCATGTTTACTCTGTATTAATATTTTGCATATACACATGTCATTTTATGATATAATAAAAATCCATTCCTCTGGCTTGTGGTATTTTGTTGAAATCATGAACATATCTAAGCTCTACCGCCATTGGAAATCCGGAGGCTGAGGATTCCCGTACGAGGGTGAAATGGCCGTTCAATAATTTTAGGATTTTAATGGTGGTCTAACTTAGATCGGTTCATGATTTTAATGAAATTCAACAGTCTTCAGAATCTCGAACTGTGGCATTTTCTTTATCGTAAATCATTTGGAAGCTTAGGTCAATAATTCGGTCCTATGAACAGTTGATGCTGGATACTATCAACTGACCATTGTTCTTTATATATATTTTACCAATCGAAAATTTACTCACCAAACACTTATTTCGTTAACAAATTGGAAATAACATGCAGTGATTCACAACTTTTGGTACACATTTTTTGACCCGTTTAAAAGTACATACAACTTAAGGTAACGAAAAATATACATTTCAAACAAACAATAAAAATAACAAAAATAATACAAACTTATATAATGAAACTATACAAGAATGTAAATATTATCAAAATAATTGTGTTTCAGTCTGGTATGCCTTAGCGTGATCATTGAGTTTTCACATTTGGATGACTAAAGTGAGTCATATTGGCTTGAGCATTAACTTCCTTTTGACCCTACCGTACCAGACGGGTTGGTTGTAAAGTAGTAATACTTTATACACGTTCTATTTCCGCAATCAACCCTCATCTTCTGTCCTCAGGTTCCTCCATATATTCCAGTAATGATAATGATTTAAGTTTACGAAATGCTATCCCGGTTTCACTGAAACCGTGCTTGGAAGCACACTTTTGAGCTTTCAACATCCGAACCATACATGAAGTCGGTCAAAAGGCATCATTATCTAAAACTCTAGAAATCATTGTTATTGATGTATGCTGTATCTTCGAAACACACATACAAGATGCTGGCGTGTCCATTTACTTGACCTTACTTACCCAGTAGGCAGAACAGGAGAGATTTATTTTTCGTGTATCTCGACGCTACAGCAACTTCTCATGACCTTCGGGTTACACATAATATTCGGAAATATTACTACTAATACTGCTGATAAATTTATCTGAAGTATTTTCCGAAAAAAGTAACAATATCTGTAATAATTATGTGTTGCTCATTATTTGAAACAGCAGGACTTAAGTAATTATTATTAATGTATGAAATAAGAATAAACAATAATACTAAATGCAACTACTGGATTGTTTAATGTTAACAATACATCATTAAACTGTTCCATTAATTAAGTCAATCTTTTGTGGACTAAATATATTTGAGACAGTAAACTGAGTACTTGGAATATCATAAATAAGACATATTGTAATTAACAATTTTTACTGTAGTGAGGTGAGTAGAAATTGTAGTTTTTATTAGTTTGTATAATTTTACCTAAACCATCACTGAAAAATTGGGAGAACTGGACTGCCTATTCGTCCTAGACTGGGACACCTAAACAGTGCACATCCGTGAGCTGAACCCAGGGCCTCTGGTTTCGTGCGCGAACACTTGACATCTAGACCGTAGAGCCGGCATCCGACAATGTCAACGTTTAACTTCAGCCAATTTAAAATATCGTCCAACCACTATCCGTTGCTTGTGGTGGATAACGGTCTCATATCCAGCATGGTTGGACTTTACTGGTTATCACTTCTAATTAGACCTCCATGAGTTGCTTCTTGAAGCTAGTTAGTAAGGAGATAGTTACCTACTGCAGGGGATTGTTATGACGGTCCTTTTTCCTGTTTACATGAATGGAACGTTAATTTACCTTGAACGAATATCTATACTAGATTCCATCTCAGTGTATACTCTACAGGACTTCAAAAAAACTCAGATCAAGGACACGTGATTAACCTGACTAGAACGTAAATATATTTCCACACCAAAACCCGACACAGTCCAACAACAAAAGAACAATCAATCATTAATAATAAATAATAACGATAGGGGAATATATAACTCATCTGACATCTGTCAGACTATCTACAAGTCTGTCTAAGCAGGCAACCAATGATTATCATTCTCGCCCAAATATGACAGATGAATGGGGAATATCGTAAATCGACTGAAGTCAAACGTTAATATGGTTGGGTACTGGCTCAGTGGTCTAGAAGTTTAGTGTTTGCACACGAAAACTCTGCGTCCAACTCCTGGTTGTGGATCATGAATGTACAATGCTGATGAGTTTCACACTAGAACGAAACAGCCACTTAGTGTTTCTAGGTTTTCAATGGTGGTCTAGGTAAGATCGGTTCATGGTTTAAACTGCGACAATTAATTATTTAATGAGTGAATAAGCATAAGAACTTAACATTCATTTTTTATACTGGTTTTTAAAATATATTATTTTTGAATTTGGATTTAATGTTTTGACCATCAATAATCATCAGTGGACAGTTAATGAACAATATAAATAGGAACAAAGAGGAAAAGGGAGAAGAAGTAGAAAAGGGAAACAGTTTAATACCTATACTATAAAAGTTCAGTGTTAATAGATAATATTGGTCTCTCAAAATCAAAATAAGATATTCATTTCACAATAATGGTAAATAGTAACGTGTTGCCTAAAGCGAAAAGCATCAAAAAGCTATCGTTTGTTACAAAACACAGTTGACATGTTAGAGATAATTTATGAAAATTAATGGGAGTAGCTGATGAGAAACAATTAACTTATCAAATTGTTAAAAACCTAAAAAAAAACTCTTCAGATGCCAGAAAAATACAACTACCAATCAGTGTTCATTAGAAAACTCTAGAAAACAACGAATTACACTTTTATTACGTTGACTGGACGACAATTGGATTTGTCACTAATTTTAGCATATTTTTTAAAAGCTTTTAAAATCTTAAAGTTAAGTACAAGATTCAATAAGTACATTTCTATATAGTTAAGATCATGAGTCAATTGAAACTAGACCACCGTGGAAAACCTAGAAGCACTGGGGGGCCGTTTCGTCCCACTGCGGGACTCCTCAGCAGTGCGCACCCACGACCCCACCTCGCGGGACTCGAACCCAGGACCTACCAGTCTCGCGCCAGAGCACTTAACCGATAGACCACTGAACCGGCATCCAGCGGTGTAAATGTCTAACCTCAACCAATCCAAGAAATTGCGCGGCCAACGCCCATCGGACTGAGGTAGATACCCGTCTCCACCTGACATGGATTAGCTCCACTGGCACGATTTCTTACTAGAACTTCAGGAATTACCTCATGGAGCCAGTCACTAGTCAGCATACGATTATTATCACAAGGGGGGCTTTGTGGAGATTTTAGTAATTTTATATAGTTAAGATCATGAATCAATTGAAAAACCCCCTTGTGATAATGATCATATGATGACTGGTGACTGGCTCCATGAAGTAATTCCTGGAGTTCTAGTGAGAAGTCGTGGCCGGTGGAGCTAATTCATGTCAGGTAGAGAATCCCGCGAGGCGAGATCGTGGATGCGCACTGCTGAGGAGTCCCACAATAGGACGAAACGTCCGTCCAGTGCTTCCAGGTTTAAGACGGTGGTCTAGCTTCAATTGACTCATGATCTTAACTATACAAAATTACTAAAATCTCCACAAAAACCCCCTTGTGAAAATACATTTCTTTTCTGTTCATATACTAAATTTAAGAATAAAGCTTTTCGCAAATGTAACATTTTCTGCTTTTTGTTCCGAGTTAAAGAATAGAACAATTCTGGAGACTAGGAAGTGGTTTGAAAGTCGGTGTTTAAGTGTTCAACTAAGATATGTATCGTGGTACAGATTCGCGTACTCGGCTATGATCGACATTTTGTATAGTAGCTTGTATTAAAAACTTGACTATATAAACCGAATTACATGTTGTAGAGTCTGAACTTACAACCTAATAGATGGAAATTACTTGCTTTAGCAATTAGCCAATCGCTCAAGCGGCATATATATATATATATATATATATATATATATTAAGGGAGAACTTTATTATTATACTGGTTTTCAGGAGAATGAGACGCTATCTAGGCTCTTTACAACCTAAGTAATACATTTTCGTCTCGCAGGTAGACATTGATAATCCTAGTATACTATTAATAAATTGTTATTTGAAAAATTATTTGGCCTAGTTGGAAATATATATAGCAGTTTGAATTTTCCTAAAATATGAACTTAATTAATAAATGGTTGTTTTATAATAGTAAAAACTGGAAGACCAATCAGGCAATTTATGTGTTGAGCCACCTCATTCATCTTGGTATTTTACCAAGTCAATCTTGTCTTCATAAAGAAAGCTGAATATACAATAAGGGTATGAAGTGAGCTATTAAGATTTACAAATTCCACTTCAGAAGAATGTTTTATAATAAATAAAAAAGACAGTTGAAAAGTGACACCAACACAAACTCCATTACTAGGTGCTAATTGTGTAATTGACATGCATAATATGGTGTAAAATTAATATAACCATTCGAATATTGATTCCAATACGAATGGTTTGATTAGGATAATATAGAGAGAGGAACTCAGAAAACAACATGGATTGACAAAAAATCTTCCCTAGTATGTTATGTCCCAATGAGAGAAAAGAATCTTAGAAAATAAAAACCGAACTGAATGTGGAGAATTTTCATCGAATAGAAATACGAATCTTTAAAAGCATTCTCAACTGACGCAAAATCAAAAAATGAATGAACGATTGACAATGACTGATCGAATAACAAAATAAACCAGCCATTGGTACTCTTCAAACCGTATATATATATATATATATATATATATATATATATATATATATATATATATATATATATATATATATAACAAGAGAAATCTAATAATATGAAACTTACTTTCTGTGAAAGTTTTTCGGATTTCCGCGTCAGCTGAAATATATATATGATTATAACTTATGGATTAATACTTCAAATAAAGAATATTTGCTTATTTATTGTGAAGATGATTTACGAAACAATATCGGTAACAATGACATTGACCGCTACTCAATCAGTGACCAATTAACGTACATACCTCATTCTAAAGGAGGCAGGTCGCGATAGGAATAACTATGTCATAACGTCTAGGACTGTGAAACTGGGTTACCCAGGTCCGAATACTATAGGGAGAACCAGCTTTCTGAAGATCAAAGATATTCCCTGACAACAAGTGTCAACAAGCACGAAGCCTAGGTTGAGAGTTTCCTACGGACTAATTCTAAACACTTAGCATCCAAACTTAGTTCACACGATGCCAAGTTACTTAACCTACTGAACCTACGGAAAGTCGACCAAAAAGAACTAGACACATATGACAGTGACTTTTACTAAGCGATAAGTTAATTGACTAATATTAATAATAATAAGGGTAGTTATGCTCGAAAATAAAAGAAAGCATTTATATTACCAAAAGATTACGTATCATGACCTACAATTTGAAGGACAAATTGATCTATCCTACAAGGGATGTAAGAAATACGATAAAACAAATTTGACAATGAATAAAAAGGATGCAAAAGTGAGTTGGATGTGTATGTACCTCTGTGTATTTTGTTGACGTTTAGACGACAGACAAAAGAAAACTAAGCTACGATAGCATATATATTATGTAAACTGACTAGATTAAATACAAACAACGATATACTAACTCCGCCTGTAGCTCGTCTGGGGTTACTACCGGTCCAATGTCCACACAAAACAGGAGGGTTTGGCATCAGGTCAGAAACCCAATCCCGTATGAAAAAACGTTGCTAAAACAACGTTAACCACAAAACACAATTTAAGCTATTTAAATTTTGTCCTCCGAGTTGAAAGATCTTCATTCAGAAGAATTATGACACTTCATGGTGAATGCTCACATTCCTCGTAAGTCTCGAGACTGATGCCCCTTCTAACAACCACAGCAACATAGAATGTCCAGATAATTTGGGAGACCGGGAGGACCAGTCAAAGAGCTTAGGAAATGAAGAGGCACAACTTAATCGTGCTCGAAATCAGTGAAACACATTGAACTCAAAATAGATAGAAAAGGTGAGAGTCGGGAGTGATGCTGTTCTACACCAATCACGAAGAGGAAAGTGCCCCACACTCAGGGGGGTGTTCTGATGTTGTCCAAAAAAGCATGTAAAACATTAGTAGGATTGGAATCCCATGGATCCGGAATCATCAAAGCATTATTCAAAACAAAGAAGGAGAGAGTCACAATGAATTTTATCCAATGTTATGCACCCCACAATGATATCAACGACGACGATAAATATCACTTATACGAGAGGCTACAACCAATAATGGAGAAGTGCTCAGGAAACGAACTGACAATCCCGATGAGGAACCTAGACGTAAAATTTCGATAGTGTAATAAGAAGACGAAGATTATCAGAACTATGTGATATATTAACGCAATACATTTCGAACAATCTGATCACACATATACTTATTAAAAAAATTTTATATAAAAATAAAAGGTCAACTAGACTGGAAATGGGGGGTAAGATGACGACAAAGTCGGAATGGACAACACCGCGTACGAAGATATCATGTGACGACAACATCAACCGACTGAAAGTAATGAAAGTGGAGACAGATTCGAAAATCTATGGGCATTCAACAAATTGGTTACAGGTGGCACATAATTCTATCACAAACACATACACGAAGCTACATGAGTCTAACCGGATCACAGCACAGAGAACCAGATAGATCATATTTCTATCAATAAAAGATTCAGACGGTCAATGGAAGACGTGACAACCAGGAGAGGAGCTGACGTAGCTTCAGATCACCAATTGTGGGGTTGCCAAAATGAAACCAAAGCTAAAGAAGCAATGGACAAATCGACAAAAAACGTTACAAAAGTTCAATATAGCCTTCATTCCACATACTAACAAACTCAACGAATTCAAGATAACTCTCAACAACGGGTTACAGGCCTTACAGGATCTATTGAAAGAAGAAGAAACTACCATAGAGGACATTTGGAAAAGGGTTGGACAAGCATTTAGTTCAACGTGTCAGGAGGTTCTGGGTCGCAACATGCATCATCATAAGGAATAGATCTCTATGGAAACCTTGCACAAGATTCAAGGAATGAAGAACAAGAAGACAGTGATTAACAACAGTTAAACAAGAACAGAGAACGTCAAGGCACAAGCTGAACACAATGAAGCAAACAAGCAAGTTGAGTGAAGTATTAGAGACGACGAGCAGAAATACAGCGGAAAAGGCTGCAAGACGAGGAAATATGAAACAAGTATACGACACGAACAAGAAACTAGTAGGGAAATATAGTAAACCAGAGGGACCAGACGAGGTCAAAAAAGGCAGGGCAATTACTGAAATTCAGGGAAATGGGAACAGATGGATGGAAGTAAATAAATAATATATTTGTAATATCCCGATGGGTAGAAAAATTGGATTTTCTGACGTTTCTTGACTCAGTAGAGGCCACTTCTTCAGAGAACAAACAACCAAATTAACATTAATCCAAGTTTAAATAGTCTTGGATTAATGTTAATTTGGTTGTTTGTTCTCTGAAGAAGTGGCCTCTACTGAGTCAAAAAACGTCAGAAAATCTAATTTTTCTACCCATTGGGATATTATAAATATATTATTTATTTATAACAATCTACCTAATGCTCAATTCATTCAAAATTACATGGGTGGAAGGAACAATTTTGAATTGACCGGCTCCATTGAATCCAACGGACATCGAAGCATGTTTTCCAGCAACAATATTGAATCATTCTCAAAAAGACTACATTATTTTTTTAGGAATCATTTACTAAGAATCTGTTTATTTACACGGCTTCGAGCCATACTGTTTGTATGAAGATTTCCTGATATGGATAATTCATTTATCAGGTTACAGACTCGTGCACTTAACTTCGAGCCACACTCAATGTGAGGAATATTGGTACTGCGCGGTTGTCTAGTGACTAAAACTCAAACGCCTTAACCATTGAGCTACCGTCCAACATTTTTGGAGTAAGAAAGACAGTAATACTGATTCGGCTGTCCAAATCTACGTACGTAAAGTGATGTTTCAAACCTACAGTCAACTAACCGAAAACTTTGCGCATCAACTTACTAAGATACCGCACTACAAATACTAATAATCAGTACTTGAAACATGAAGAATACTACACAATTCAGCAGATTTTTATAAACATAACCAAGAATTCAAAAACAAAACTGCTGGATTCCTGTTTTAATGAACATATTATCAAACCATAAAAGAAATATTATTCAGTTAAATAATATCAAAAATAAATTGACGTGAATTTTTAGTACCAATGTTAATCATCACTAAAAGCAGTAATACTTTCAGTCATTCATAAGATTACGTAAATTTTATTTGGACTTTTCCCTTGGAAAACTTACTTTTCGAGTTATTTTATCAAATTCAGTTCGACCAAAATTCAGTAGATCATTTAATCCACCAGAACGTTTCGGGATGGAAACATGGTCGATAATATCTTCAAAATCATCTGGTGGAATAAACGCCATATCTGAATTCAAAACTGCTACACGTGATTCAAAAAACTTTAGAAAGTTTAAAATATGATGAAGAGAAAGAAAACAAACCATTATTTTTCAATCTTAATGATTATGTTGAAAAAGTTTGGAGTAAAAGTTAAATGTTATTCGGTACTCAGATAACATAATTGCTATAACAGGATAAGTATTAATTAAAATTAAGTCTTCAGAACTGTCCCACATGAAGCAAATGTGTATAATTATCAAATACCTAAATTTTTGTTCTTTCGTATTCTACTACTTACAAGCTTTCTCGTGATGCATAAACTGTGATCATGTGTTGTACCTTTCTTAAGTTACTGTTACTTTGTGACAGACCAATTACTCAGTCTTTTTCCCAGTAATAGCGTAGTTATGTCCGCATTGTAAATTCTTAATTACGTTGATGTGTGGTCAGGATTTTACTTGATATTGTTGTATGAGCGATTCATAAATTCAAACTGTATAGTTAGGAGTTGTCCACTTGCGCTATTGTGTTCTATTCTAGCTGCCGGGCGAGAGAGTGTGGGAAACTGTTTTTGGACTAACGGTTATAAAGTATTATTCTTGGCCGTCATCTCACTAAAATCGTGTCGTTCATTAGCCGAAGGTCATTGGTATTAGATAAACAGTCTAAGTGATCCAATCAATGCTCGGACAAGATCAATACAACTGCTCTCCTGTCTCTTACGGTATGACCATGTGGGACCCAAAAATAAATTAGAAGAAATATGATTATTTTTATCGTCACATCAATTGTATTACAATAAACAATGTGTTAGAGTACATTTGCTAAAAATGTAGTGGCATTAGTCTTTTTTAGTATGAGAATCCACATGCAGTGGAAGATTGCCACGCAATATCGATATTTTGCCCCAAATGCCCTGGTACGGCCGAGAGTCGGAAGAGTTCGCTCTCCCTCTCCAAATGCTCTCACATGACCACGCGAATATATAGCCTCTATCAGGGAAGTCCTACTAACTGCCTTCTCGTAGTATTACTGTTGTTTACGAAATTGAGAGGACGAAAAGCGAATGTCCGGCGCTTTAGCCGAGTTGGTGGACACGGCGACTCCACCTAGGGGAGTTGGAAAACCCTCATTCCAAACCAATGGTGCACATGGGCTCCAGGATCCTGATAGAACGAATGGCGTATGAATCTATTGTTGGTCACCGGCTACCACGGGACTGCATCTCCTCACGATGCTCCACTGCCTTGTGGATCAGACCGTTAGGTCAAAGGTTCCGGGTGTGGCCTCCTAAGAAAACCACCTGCTTCAGCCTGGGCACCTGGGTAGTATCACAGCCCTCACACAAATCAAATGAGATTTGTGTGGCGCATATTTATCTGGTGCCTTTTTGTACCAATATTCATGTGTTTAAATAAATAAATAAATAAACGCAATATCGAGAGTTGGTTAAAGTTAGGCGCGTACACCGTTAAATGATACCTCAGTCGTCTGTAGGTTAAGGGTTTATGGGAGAAACTGAGATTCACGGATTCGATCCTCAGCGAGATCGTGAACGTACATTGCTGAGGAGCCCCATGCTAGGACGAAATAGCTGTTCACTTCTTTCTGATTTACAATATTAGTTTAGCTAGGATCAATTCATGATTAAAACAACAAAAGTAATAACAATGATCAAATATCATATGAGCTATGGAATATGAATGGACGGTTAAGAATAAGTCATACGTAGGGGTAGCATAGAAGTATAAATGATAGGAGTATAATATTGCTCCGTTTATGAAAATTACTCAAGACTTAGTATATAACTGAAAATTTTCCTGTATATTCATATAATGTTAATTGTCTATCAAACGGGGAAGAATGAAGCTAATAATAGACACGACAAAGTCTAAGGGGTCAATAACATTGTGGAGTGATGAAAATTTTTTGTTTGACAGCTACAAATATTATTCTGGTCTGCTCTTATGTTGGTCAACATTTCTCATCAGGGTATATGTCGTCTGATATGAGTAATACATCTCTAACCTTTGGTTGATAGTCAATGACTAAACTACTAAACGACAAACTAAACGTATGATTTATCTCAAAATTATCAGAGATAGACTGATTTATCTATCTCCGCCTGGTTTATTGTTACAATCCTATTTGGCAGACTTGAAATAACTTTCCACCATAATCCGCAAGTTCTTCTACAAACAATGAACTGGCACAATTTCATTTGTCTGAGAAATAGAGTTGACTAAAATACTCGTTAAAAGAAACCCACGAATACGTTACAATATGAATTACATAAAAAAAGTTATCCCTCGAACTGATACAGGACAGGCCAATTTATCCGTTCTTCTTGAGTCACGTTTTGACCTTGGCAATTATTAACTTATCAACCTTGATTGTTTTTATGTGAGCGTATGTGTGTGTACATTTCTTGTCCTATTTATAGCACGTCTACAACCTATTTTTATCTAGCGATAAATATTGATAAACGGTTGGTTAAACGGAGTTGGCTAGGAACCCTTCTCCACTGCGCGTCATTTCGCTTCGCCCTCTTCTCTTCGTTTCTCCGCTCGTTTGTCTGGATCAATGTTTGTATGAAATATACGTATTCGAAATCGATTCTCGTATTCGACTTACTTACTGTTTGCTGCAACTGTGCACAGACTACAACCTGTTTCTGGCTAGCATTAACTTCCGGCACAGTCATCGCCGGTGTGCCACCTGGCGTCCTCCATCTGCATCTCAAACCTGGACTCAGATTGATCACATCGCAATCAGCTACCGCTGGCGTGGTTGTGTACAAGACTGCCGCTCCTTTTGGAATACCTATCTGGAGTCTGATCATGCCCTGGTCTGCGCCAATCTCACCTTACTTTTCAGTGGTCGAACGATTGACCGCCATCAACGGATCGATGTTAGTAAACTGGCTGAAACATCTGTTGCAAGTAAGTAACAAGCGGAGCTAGCTTCTAGGCTAGCAACCATCCCAACGAAAAGTATAGATGAGCATTGGTTGCATCTTCACGACGCCATAAAAATGGCGAGTAAAGCCGCTTGCGGCTTCGCGAAACGTCCCGCTTACAAGCACTGGGTTTCTTCTGGCTCCTTACAATTGATGGAAGCCCGTCGGTCTACTCCGGGTGACCGTGAGTATGACCACAAACGAAGGCTGTTACGTAATGAAATCGGGCAAAGCTTACGTAAGGACCGGGAAGCCTGGTGGTCGGAACGTGCTAATGAGATAAAGCAGCAGCCGCATCTGGTAACTGCCGGAAGCTCTTCCAACTCATCCGAGCCACTGGCAGTAAGAAGTCTCGTGTGAGTGAAACAATCCACGAGGATGATGGGATGCCAATCACTAACATCTCTCGACGTCTTGGACGATGGGCGGAAATTTTCGAAGGGCGGTTCAACTGGCCTGCTGCTCCGGCAACATCAACCAGTTTGTCCTGCCCCTCATGGCCGGTGACGACTGATCCACCAAACGAGGCGGAAGTACGCAAGGAACTCCAACTCTTGAAGCGCTACAAATCACCGGACCCAGTTGACTTACCTCCGGCTCTTTTTAAAGATGGTGATGACTTTCTGGCTAAGGAACTGAAGGTGTTGTTTGGAAAGGTTTGAGAGCAAGAAAGTGTTCCAACATCATGGAATGAGTCGATAGTCGTCCCTATCTTTAATAAGGGTTCACCTGGTTCCTGTAATAACTATCGGAGGATAAGTCTACTTCCGATTGCGTCCAAACTATTGGCTTCTGTCATTCTTCGTAGGTTGTTTAAAACCCGAGAACGATTGACTCGCAAGGAGCAGGCTGGTTTTCGTTCTGGTCGAGGATGCATTGATCACATCTTCACCCTCCGCCAAATGTTAGAACACCGTCATACTTATCGCAGGCCAACAATCGTAGTGTTTCTTGATATCAGGGCGGCCTTCGATTCGTTGGACAGGACTGTCCTCTGGGATTGTCTATTGAAGAAGGGTGTGCCTGAGAAGTTCATTAACATCTTAAGGGCCCTGTATACGAACACCTCAGGCAGAGTGAGGGCATACAACCACCTTTCTCTCTTGTTCCATTCGAGCAGTGGGGTTAGGCAGGGTTGCCCGATCTCACCATTCCTCTTCAACTTTGCCATCGACGACATCCTGGAAACAGCTCTGATGGATGTAAGTAATGGCGGTGTGGATATGTTGCCTGGAGAACGACTTCTCGACCTCCAGTATGTGGATGATATTGTCTTACTGTGCGATAATACCCAAGGCATGCAATTCGCACTTAATCAGTTGGCAATCAGTGTCCGCAGGTACGGTATGTGCTTTGCACCCTCCAAGTGCAAAGTACTCCTACAAGACTGGCAGGACTCTCATCCTGTACTCACCCTGGATGGAGAGGAGATTGAAGTAGTTGAGAAGTTCGTGTATCAAGGTAGCTACATAAGTGCTGGTGGTGGCGTGAGTGATGAGATTGATGCACGTATAAGGAAAGCCAGAGCGGCTTATGCCAATCTGGGCCATCTTTTGCGCCTTCGTGATGTTAGTCTGGCTGTAAAAGGTCGGATCTACAACGCGCCGGTGAGAGCAGTTTTGCTCTATGCTTGTGAAACCTGGCCTCTCCGAGTTGAGGATGTTAGACGTCTCTCTGTGTTCGATCATCGTTGTCTCCGAAGGATTGCTGACATTCAGTGGCAACACCATGTTAGTAATGCAGAGGTTCGGCATCGTGTGTTTGGGCGCAGAGACGATAATTCAATTGGTGTCACCATCTCGAAACACCGACTTCGGTGGCTTGGACATGTTCTACGAATGTCGTCCCAGAGACTTCCACGTCGTGCATTATTTGCCGACTTTGGGACTGGTTGGAAAAAGCGGAGAGGTGGTCAGTGTATGACATAGTGTCGTGACATGAAAGAGAGCTGCAAAGGGCTAGCTTCTGTTGGCCCTTCACGACTCCCTGGCTGGGGTCCGAGAGATGGTGCAACATAGTGGCTAGAGACGTTATCGGATATGGCTCAGAATAGAAGCCAGTGGCGATCCTGCTGTAACCTTCTTCTCTTTTCTTCATAAAGAGTGGTTCTAACTTTCTTAACTGAAAGAGTCTTCCGGTTGTACATTTCAGTCCCCCTTATCTTTTCATCCTTTCTCTTCCTATTTTCATTATTTTGTGTGGCGCATATGTACCTGGTGCCCTTTTGTACCAATATATATGAGTTTAAATAAATAAATAATATATATTCGGCAGCAATTATTGGAGCCAGATAAAGGGTCACTAAAAGTTAATCTTACATTATTTATTATGAATAAAATAAACCAACGTCAAAACTACCAGATCAGACTTAAGTAAATGAGTAAAATGTCTGTGATAAAAGATATATCTTGACAGGAAATATTTAGACAATGGACTATAACTTAGATATATTACACCAATAGTAGGGTTGACTTATTGAGAATTGAATACTTAAAACTCAGGATTATAGATTCAATTTAATTATAACAGTTTTGATGATTGAATTAATTTAGGATAGAAAAGATACAAGATTATATAACTGATTACTAAACGATTTGAAGTAATCAACAAGCTGAAAAATGATTTCTATTTCCAACTGAACAACAAAAATCAGCGTATACATTAGTCATTAATTATTCACTCTAGAAAATCAAGTATACGATTCAGTATACCAATGATATAATTTATGAGTATCTGAAAAATGGTTAAGACTAAAGAGATAAACAATCAGTTAGATAAGTAAGTTGGTTGTATTATACATAACTGAATGACTGGCATTTTGAATATTAATAATGTCAAATGAACAAACAACCAAAATTACACATGCTTAATGTATTTACACTTTGTAGAATATGTGCACATCGATTAACAATATGTAACAATCGTTATATATATATATATATATATATATATATATATATATATATATATATATATATATATATATATATATATATATATATATGACTAACTCCTATATATCATTGTGAGAATAAAGTGGACTAGAAATTAAAACGATGGATCTACATCAAGTAGTGATCTTGACTAGACAACCATTGAAAACTAAGAAACATTGAACATTTTTTGGTCCAAGAATAATACTCCTCAGCCATGTGCATTCACGACTTAAGTGAGAATTAAAACCAAGACTTCCATACCTTGAGGCAAACATTTAAACGTTAGATTACTGAGTTGGAATATAATCGTTCATAAGTTTAGCTTCAACTAATTCTCAATACTGTACAAACAACTCTTAATCTCATTGGTACGTAACTGCTTCACATACGACACTTCGCTGGTCACAGCTCCTTACTTAAACTCTGGGAATTAACTGTCGACATCAGCTAGTAGTGAGCAAACATAGCTTTATGTTCTGAAAATAATTACAATAATGACATAAGTACATGGAAGACAGTAGTTTTATAGAGAATCTCAAGGTTTATTAATTGTATAAATATGGCTAGTAAATTGCTTTAGTTAGTGATAAAACTGTTAACTGTGAGCAACATAGATAAACATGTGTAGAACCAATGATACATAAAGCATAGTTAAAGTTCACTAAAATTTGAGTTATAGCATTTATGGCAATGTAGTGATAGTGATAATCATGAATGAAGTAAACATACAATTAATAGACTAATATTTGAACGAAGAATATTCTTTTCGATAAATTCTCTTCAGGTTCTACAATTATATATCCAAATTAATAATCCGAAAAATTGGCCAGGTTAAAGGCAAAGTACATAGTTTAATGCATGTAAATTTAGGATTGTCAAACCAAATAGTTAATGTTGATATGACTCATATAGAATGTTAACTTGAATCTGTATATACGTAAAATGAAAATTTAAGATCTGTGATCAGAATATAAATATGGGTCAGATAGGGTGAGAGCGATATGATAGTGCAATTACAATTCGATCAAGTGGAAGACTAAATGTGTGAAAAATTAGTGAGACGTAATAAGGAGGGATCAATGCGATGTGAATGAATCATGTCTAGGGGGGATTAATAATGATATTTAACCAATAATAATAATAATAATAATAATAATAATAATAATAATAATAATAATAATAATAATAATAAAATACAAAGATTTGTGAATAAAGATAAGAGAGACAATTACATTTGACTACGAAAGGTCGTAAGTACATAGTCAAATTAGGTCATACAATAGCTAAGATGATTGTTCATTAATTGGCCTTGTGGTTGGCCAAGGGAGAAGTAGGGGTTGGAGATATTTCTTCTGTACACATAGCTCAGGTTTCTTCATTCTGATGGCTACTGCCTCCGCCGTTTGAAGGACTTTAAGCCTGACAAGCTTAGGCAAAAAATTACTGACCCTATAAATAATTGAAAAAGATTGGTTTATACTGGCACTATGACCAGTTTGTACTAAATGGGCCAAAATCGAGCTGTTTACTTTCTTCATCAGACCTTTGCTTAGCCACGCTGGGAGGTGTTCACGAGCACGAAAATGTAAATTCCTAGAACTTCGACCAATATAACTTGCTCCACAGGAGCAGTCGAACTGATAAATACAAAATGAAGTGGTCATTCTAGGAACTTCATCTTTAAGCCTCGGTGTCACCATCGGACGCGTAGAAAACACCAAACGTAGTTCACCTGCGTTGAAAGATTTTTGGATAGATCTGCGTAATCTCTGAGCAAGTATTTCGCCAGCGGCATCCCCCCTGAATTGTAGGCGCATGAACAAGGACTTTTTCTTGACCGTTTGGAATTCGCCTATTTTCACTTTAAAGATCATATATTTAATTATAAATTTTCTGGGATATCCGTTCTCCCTTAGAGCATTATGCAATGTGTTTAGCTCATTGTCAACTACATCCGCCGAACATATAGTGCGTATTCGATAGCTAGTATTCGATGGATACAATTAATAATACGTAGTAGTGTTAATATGACTAGTCGAATCTACCGAAAAGACTCCAGGATTATAACGTTACATGATACTTCAAGTTATATAACTTGAAATTTTTAACACGAAAGGATTTGGTGGGAAAAGCACTAAATATTACAGATAACTTATTCAGTATATTCTCATAAACCAAATAAAGATTGAAATGAAAACATACGGTGGACTAGTGGTTTGGTAGTTGTTAATGAACCCAACTTTAAATTAATGGGTTGCATATACACAAACATCGTTTACTTTGATTTAGACGGTCTGATTATACGCATCATTACCTATCACAAAAAATGTACCGGTTTAGGCTGAGTATATTAGCATTAGCTCATTGATTCAGTCGAGTTGAGCTAAAAAAAATACTCTTTTGAAGGTTAGTAAATTCACTTCTGAAATATAACTTATCGCACTGTTATTACGACATTAAGTCGAATTAATTACGTGAATGCTTATATCGTCGTCATCATCATCATAAAGCATTATATTTTTAAATATACTTCCTGTTTACTATTAGTAGTCATATGTAAGTAGAATAAAAAAGAGTCAATAATAGAAACTTTTCAAGTGGTAAAATTAGTGACAACTATAAATAATGTCATGCATTGAAAAAAAATTACAGAATAGATCCTCGTGATAATATTATAAAAACCACATTGTTTTACAGATTGGTTCTAGTTATACAAATCAAAATATCGATGTAGCGATCTGTGTTGTTACGGACGATGTCCAGATTCTGGTGCTGATACACGGCGTGCTGCGCGCATAACCCCCCAATTGACTACTTGAGAGAGAAAGTTTATTTGGCTGCCGAATAAAATGCACCAATGCTCATTCATATACATATATATCACTTAAATCTTTAGGAAATTAGGAAATTTCTTAGCCAATGAAATGTACTTGTCTTTTAGGTCACTTTTAATTGCCATCGATTGACCTTTTCATTAGGTTACTTCTGATTGACTTTCCACATCAGTCTACACAAAGCCAATTAAGCTTGTGCTGTGCCTTCTAACAACTAATAATTCAGGTGCTCCACTGCTGAAAAGACAAAAAATTCAGTAGGCCTATTTCCTACACCTAAGCAACGATGGATCCCCTAGAGCATCACTCATCCATGGTGCCTAATGAAATGGCACGTGAGCTATTTAGCAATTAAAAACGACAATTAGAAAAATCTTTTGACTTATTTAAGTAGAATATTCGTGAAATAATGAATTTTCCATCACATAGCTCTTATTATTGGTCCATTTTACAACAAATAACTTTATGTGATGTGAAAATGATAAGTTTCTTCATAAACAGTTACCCAAAAGTGAATTTTCACAAGTCGATAGAAATTCAACAAACACTCCTAATCTTATTTGAGTAAATATTATTTCTTTACCTTCCAGTTCTACTAAGTGCCAATATTTCGCGTCTATGCCAAATAACAGATATATAGGTGTATATAGAGTATAAACAATTAAACGATTAACAGATCAACTAACTTGTATCACCATTTGAGAATTTAAAAGTTCTGTAAGATACGGCTGTAATTCATGACCACAAGAAGTAACAAATACAGCACGGTTGAAAAACCATCCACCTATACGAGGTTGATCAAATTTATCTTGTGATCGACTTTCGTCATTTGGTGATTGTATTGGTAAAAGATCGACAGATGTAGAAACTTCATTATGTTGCAGTGCTGATCGATAACGGCCTATTTAGGAAAATACAAAGAAGATGTAGTAAATTAATAATCATAATCAGATTAAAAATTCGTTTACAATAAGTAAGAGGCATTGATTACCACAAATATGATTTCAAAACAAACTGTCAGCTAGTAGCGATTAAAAATATTGTCTTAACTAACAGACTCAACAAGAATAAACCGATCACGTGCAATTGTCTGAAGGCTTAATCAGTCTAAAATTGTAATGCAAGCCTCATATAATGTATGGAGTAATTTGGTACCTTCTTATGGATAATATCTAGAAAAACGAGAACAGGTATACAACACTCTTAGTAACTAGTGGTTTGAAAAGGGTAAAAAGAGTATATTTATAATATTAGAAACAAAAGAATTGGAACTGGAAAACTTTAGTTGGGTAATAATAACATTATATATTACCATTAATAGAACCGAATACACGCTAATTGGAATACAATGATGCCTTTTAAAAAATATTGGATACGCTCTACCGCCTTATGTATTTACTTAGATTTGCGTACATACGATGGATTGTACAAGCTTCAATCTTGTATCTCACTCATCAGTCCACCCCTCTCACTTGTAAATTGTGTGTTGATATTTATAGCCTTGTATATGTGACACCAAAAACGCATTTGTAACATTTAGAGAGTTCTTTTTCTTAATTTAACCCCGCGTAAATACTAATTTGCCATAGCTGAATCCCAAATATGGGAACACCACTTATTTGTCCTATATATCTCTGAATATATTTAACAATCGATAAATCAAAACTCAACATTTAACAGTTTAAACTTCAGTCCACTTGTGATAAAGAGCATTAAATATCCGTTGACATAAGTTCGTAATGAAATCTAACGGAATATTGCAAACATTTTAATAAAATCATCTAACCCCTGAATGACTTAATTTGAGATAGATTCCAGAAAGAATATGTAAAAAGCCATGAACTCAGGGGTCAACTAAGCAGAGAATAAGCCAGCAACTTAGTCACATTTAATAAAAATCATGTCAAATCACGAACTGACTAGAAAATGAATAAGTGGCCCATTGCATTATAACTCAGTAATCTAAAAACGGTGTTGTACACACATGGGATGAAGACCCTGTGCTGATCACTATGTGAAGTTGCAGATGTGCATGAACAAATCTATTCAAACTCTTGTCAAAACTTGATTAAATAGTCTTACAAATATGTGACTATCTTCCTGATGAAGCGCAAAAACTAGTTTTGTCTGAAAAAAATTGAATTATATAAAAATATAATCATTATCGAAATTAAGTAGATATCCGATAAAATTTCTCCAGGAATCGATGATTTGATAACTTCAAAATAATTGGTACAAATCGCCTGGTTATATTGTAGATGAACACATTGAGTGATGTGCTTTTCCAATAATTGCAGTCTCTTTATTTTTTTGTAAGTAGAATTAATTCACTATGAAATCATTTTTAATTACGAAGCAAAAAATAGTAACCTTACCAAGAAGAATAGCCATCAGTTCTAAGTATGGTCGAGCTAGAAGTAAGGCAGCAGTTGAAGCAACATTTTCTGTTGAGCGTATATGCCGTAAAATTGCACTATGTGATGCATTACACCGTTTAATCAACCAATGACGCTGAAAAAAAAGACAAAGTATCGAAATAAAACAAGGATCATTAACAGCAGTTTACAATGTCATTGAATAATCTGAGAACTCATTTCTAAGACTGAAATAATAAATGTGAACGAAAAAACAGTATGTCTGTGTAAAAATAAAATTGCATGAGTATAAAAAAGTCACAGCCATCAATGTAAACCCACATTACTTGTAATATCATCAGTAAATTTTCTTGCTTCCATATCAATAATTAGATAGGAATCTTGATTTATCATCAAAAAAGTAAAACTAATTTTTAAAAAAATAAACATCTATTTCAAACAATTTAATCCTTACAGTACGGTACACACATATTTGATAGTAGTATCTTGTTGCTAAGACTTATTATAACAAAATTATTACCAACTATGTAGTAAATTAAATTCATTCAGTGATATTAACTTCTTGGGTATAAATAAACAATGTATACCACCTCAACCACTTTGATGCATAACCTCATTCATGCATTTGACAAACGATTACTTAATAAGAAAAGTTCAGAAAAGTGATCTCTTTTTAGCGAACTTACTATCAGGCTGTACAATAATACACATGAAATTTTAGGTATTAATTCTGTGAGGAGATATGAACAACAAACAAACATGACGATGTGATGGAATGATTACAATACTAGGTAATATAATTTACACAGGATTACTTTATTGTTAATGAACAGTGTTGCTAACACAAGTTTGAAACTTGTGTTAATTTAGCCGCAGTTATTTATTTACTCTGAAGAAGCGGCCTACATTAAAGACACGAAACGTCGGAAATATAATTTTTCTATTTATTGCGATTTAACAAAAATATCTATCTATCATTAACTTTCTACCCAATGCTTAATTTATTTTAAACCAACAAATCCAACTTTGGTATTGATGTCTATTAAAGTTTTCGGATATTTTTTGCATGATATTGAAATCAAATGTTTTTCCAAGATTGAAATTCTATAGTTAAACGCCTCAGTGTTAAATTAAAAGATACCCAAATGCCCTGGTACGGCCGAGAGTCGGAAGAGTCCGCTCTCTCCCTCTCGAAATGCTCTCACATGACCACGCGTATATAGCCTCTGCCAGGGAAGTCCTATTCACTGCCTTCTCTCAGCGAGGATGTTGTTCACGAAATTGAGAGGACGAAAAGCGAATGTCCGGCGCTTTAACCGGGTTGGTGGACACGGAGGGTCCACCTAGGGGAGTTGGAAAACCCTCATTCCAAACCAATGGTGCACATAGGCTCCAGTATCCTGAGTGAACAAATGGCGTACGAAACAATCGTTGAGCACCGGCTACCATGGGACTGCATCTCCTCAAAATGCTCTGCTGCCTTGTGGGTTAGACGTTTAGGTCAAAGGCTCCGGGTGTGGCCCTTTAAGAAAACCACCTGCTTCAGTCTGGGCACCTGGGCAGTATTACAGCCCTCACACAAATCAAATGAGATTTGTGAGGCGCATATTTATCTGGTGCTTTTTTGTATCAATATTTATGTGTTTAAATAATAAAATAATAATAAATTACACACATGTTAGTGACGTAAGATGAAAAAGCAGTAACATGGATTTTCATTCAAATTTTGCCGATCGGCATGAAAATTACTGAAAACCACATATATAAACTATGCATTGATATATATGAAGCCATTGGCTGGTGGAGTAGTTACAGATTCCGTGGTCGGGTTCCGCAAAATATTCATCATATATGGTTAGGGACCGGTAACAACGTTTATTTACACGAACTTCCAGATGACTCAGAGTTTGTCTGAACAGTGAAGTACTTTTCAGGTGATATAGTTACAGTCTGTGGGAACTTCTAACTAGTGGTTGAAGATGTTTAGCGATATGATTTGAAATTGAGGTGCAGATTTGTTTACTACGCATGTTTCCAAAACTGTCGAATACTGCATATTTATTCTGTCTTCATTCCTTGATTTTATGTGTTTCTTTACCTTGAGTTCCCTACTGATTCCTAAATTGGTGCTTTCAATCCTTTTTATTTCTCATGCTGACTTTTTCTTGATAAAATGATGTGAAACGTGAGGGCTGGAACCGACGTGCTATCCTGTTAAGTACTAGTTGGACATCTTTGTCGGTTACCTAAACTTTATATCAGTAAACGTATATATTTCATAAGCATTACAATGATTACAAACACTCTACGCAATGTGTTGAAAATAAACTATACTTTGCCAAGATTCGCATCCGATAAACATTTCTTATCTGCCTACTTCTAAGTAGACCAGAGCGCTTCTGTGTATTAGATCAAGTACCTGATGAATCAATATGAATTTTATATTAAGGCATAATACGTCAAAATGATTATTTTTAGTGCGAATAGAAGATAATTAATATGTAGAAACACCAGTATAAATATATATAAATATATACAAATATATATTAAACATACTAAAACAGACGGCATGGTTATTCCTACATCTCCTGTTCCATATACCACATCATGATCCAAATCCACAAGCCGAACTCCAGGAATTAACAGTGGTTTCATCTTCTATACAAATAAAAAGCAGAACTTTCAAAAAGACTAAAGACTTACATTGAAGCCATGAACCAATCAATGTTAGACCACAATTAGAAACCTGGAAGCACTGGACGGCCGTGTTTTCCTAGTGTGGGGCTCCTCGGTAGAGCACACTTATGATCCCGCACACGAGATTCGGATCCGCGACCTTTAGTTTCACGCGCGAACACTCAAATTTTAGACTAATGAGCTGGCGTTCAATTGTGTTGATCCCTAACTTCACTCAATCTAAGGCAGTGAGCGGCTATTTTCTGTTGTCTTAAGTTGGTAACTGCCTCACATCCGACACAGTTGAACTCCGTTGGTCACGGCTTCTAACTATAAGTCCAAGAATAGCTTGAAGCTAGTCACTAGTGAGCACATGATATCTTTCAGTATGGGGTTGTGAAGACTGCTGAATTTCATTGAAATCAGTCCAATGCTTCCAACTCTTCAAAGGTAGTCTAACATTGATCGGTTAATGGTTTCAATGAAATTCAACAATCTTCACAATCCCTTGCTGATAATTTGGCACTTAATCTGAAACACGTAATTAAACAAACCTCTATTAAACATGAGTGGACACCAGCGACAAATGGGGTCGGACAGCTTCAGAAGAAAAAGATCTAAATTCCAAGTGATGACGTTACTTACTTACCCAACATATTCAATACAATTGGAAGGTAACAGAGAATAGATTAAATGGGGCCTGATTATATGTAAAGAAAAACAAGTTAGTTGGAATGAAAAATACCATATAAGTGGGTACAACAAACTTAAACTGGCCAGAAGACATGAAGTAATACGCTGCAAACGACTTGAGTAGAATATTACACTTTTCTCCAAAATTAGGCTAGAAGTAGGAAGTAACAGATAAATTTTTATTAATTAATCAGGCTATACATTATCTCACCTTTCAAATATTACAATCCAATTGCCGATAGACAATGTATTATAATACTCTAAAATATGTCTCTAAAATCAAAATTTTGCGAAATAATGACAATTATCAGTTACATGATAAACAAACTGAAACTGTGCTTCCGGGAGTTGTATACTTAACTTCTATTTGGATAAATTGGTTTAAAAAATAGAATGTGAGCAGTACCGTAGAATTTGGAGGGGATGAAATGTTAAGTGTAGCAACACCAGAATGATAATGCAATTCCCTTAGAATTACTTCAATATTACGTCGGTTTTCTTCTCTGTATAAATGCTCTTGATTAATCAGAGTTATGATTGAGTGCAAAAGTTCAAAGTAAGGAAAATAACTAAAATTAACATAAATTTAGACTATAAAGATAAGTGTGATAAAAATATTACCTACTAACGCACACAATATATCCGGAAATAGGTAAAGTAATACAAGCAAAAAATTCTACAGTTCCATCGCTATCCGTGAATATAAGTGTATACTCTTCCGAAATAAGACTGTTAAAATAAGTTAACTATGGAGATTAAATATAACTGACCTTTTATGTCTACATGGAAGAACAAAATTTCGCAATTTATGAAAGTGGGAATTTTCATTGTTAACAGATGGACAGACATATTCAACTACAGGATCTAAAAATTGTCGAACAAATTATTCGATAACTAACCACCGTTTGTACTATCCATATGGAAAATGACAACATGTTCTATTAGTTTATTAGTTTTTCTGAAAGTGGAATAATGTGTGACAAAATACTCACAAAGAATATATTACCTTAAACGATTCCAGAACATATTCAGAATGTAGTTTTACATGGGATAAGCCATTATTACAATCCAAGTTGCCAATATAAATCTTAAACAAAAATACAGAACACACAATTCATAGACAGAGGTAAAAATAAGGACACAAAAAAATGTAAGACTATCAACCAGCGACGGAATTGTAGCTTAGTTCATCACAGTAAAAGCAAAAGGAAATTCCCACCAAGCCCTGCTAAAAACGGATAGTGTTTTGTCCCATGCACCTGCTAATATATCACATGACTAAATCGTATAATAATAGGAAGTAGGCCAAATGAAAGCTTATATTAAGAGGAATATGAGTACATATGATCTAGTTAATTAATAGGCATACAATAAGAATCAATATATAGTAACACTCTATACGTAGTTCCTAAAAGTTACCGTCCATTTACTCTTCGTTAGGATACAACAAATGGTGAAAGAGCCTTAGTAGTTACATTGACTGAGATGTTTGCTGGAACTTAGGGTTTTAAAGCAACGCTGTCAGATAAATTGTGATCACTAAATATCTCAATCCGTAAGTAAGAACAAAGATTTTCTTGTGACAAATAGAGCTATTGGTTAAACAAAAATAGCAACATCAAAAGCTATCCAACATTTAACCAGAGTTTACGAAGATCGAAATCGGGAACACTCTGGTGGTTTCAGGTTTGAGGGTAAATGTAAAATGAAAAATAAGCCGTTCGTTAGATTTCGGAACACAGATGTGCTTACAGAGGCGAAACTATGATTTATGGATAGCCTCGCCGAGGTAGGAATTTTAGGCCTGAGTTAGCCCCGCATAGAACGATAGCCGAATAAGAGAATGAACTTTTTCTCACACTGAAACAACACAGTACCCAAGTGGATACCGTCTCTTTCAATAAAAGAGATGGTAAACAACGATGGTGTTGAAAAGACCAGAGAAGATATAACTGAATAGTTCCAGTATTAAAAAGTCATACAATTTTACTGACCAGGGATACAAACGATTATTAGAAAGTGTAATAATAAGGTAAACCACTATATGTATTTAGCAAGCCGTGGGCTGAGAGGAAGTAGGCTAACAGCACAACCAAAACGTTTCACAGTTGTTGACACACTACTACTTTGGCTGATTACTTACATAAGGAGTTCATCGATAACAAGTCTTACAGAACATTTTGTTATCGTAACGCATCGCCTAGATTTTGCGCCATAACATACCGATGGCTCAGCCTTGGATTGGACAATCGCCTAGTCTCAATTCATGTAGGAAATGTTCTTATGGTGGTCCATTTGTTCCTCATAGTCCTCAACGTCAAAGATTGACAACCATTTATTGAGTAGAGCATTATATTCGTTGGAGAAAAATCAGTCATCACTATTTCTCCAACCTCAGTTTTTAAAAGTTTTGTGGAAGCATTGGGATGATTATTCTAGATAAGATCAAAATTCAAGATGCTGATTGCACTATTTGAGAATCAGAACGACAGTGGTCATTAAATTTATTAATTCCCGTAATATTTTGTAAATCTTAATAAAATACTATATCCTTGTCTGTTGTGGCGTACTATGCCCAGCTATTTTTGAACCCAAATCAAACAGCTCAAATGGTTGTGGACAGAATACAAGCTTTCGCCTAATAGGATTCTGTATGTAGGATCAGTGGATGATCAATACCTTCAGGCAGGAACCTATGTATATTAACGATAATAGAGGAAGACGAAATTGATAGAATATTATCCTTGTACCTTAAGAATGTGTCAAATTTCCACTTGAAATATTCCTGGGAAGTCTTTTGGACTAGCTCGGCCGGCATATAATTCTAGCAACTCTTAATGAATGTTGGTTATGTCTACAGTTCTTTTGATGTAACCCCTAAGGTTAGCGTTGGCGCTAAACCTAAGTATGTGTTTAAGGGGGGGGTATCAAGAAGTTTTAAGGACACTGTAAGACATCAGAAGGTTACCTCTAAGACTCCTTTGCTGTAATGAGTAAAGGTTTAGTGATTGGTTCGCGGATGAAAAAGGCTTTTTGGGTCTTTCTCACTGAGAGTCAACGATTTGTACAACCTATCTCACAACGAACTAGGCCAAAAAGAACGGAGAAAATGGACATCGGTGTAAATTTTTGATACGAATTTGCCCATCATTGGACTAACTATGATAGAATGCATACCAGTCACTAGGACATAATATGAGCATACCGAATGGAAATGGATAAATTCCGAAATACAGATTTTAGATATGAGCAAGACCAATACTTTCAGTACCGCAACTCGGACGCAATCGTGTTGTCTAGGATCGCCTATAAGCAGCACCATCCAAACGATGACTTACACAATTCGCTACAATATTGGGATCACCAAAGGTTAAAACAAAAGACAGCACTCCTGTGAGTAAATACAAACAGAATATCAGATAGTATTTGCAAGCTATGAAAATATGTGACAAAAGTGCTGGTGATGCTACTTTATGTCGAATTACATTGAATCGACTTTGTTTCCAGTATATTTAAAATCAATAACTAGGTGACTGGCACTTTATCAATAAACGTAAAAGTCGAATTGTCAAGTAACAAAATACAACAATAATAATTTGTTTTTAAATAACAGTTTGTTACGGGAGGTATGTCAGTTTACAGGCAAAATCAAATTATTTATTTGTTTAAACACATAAATATTGATACAAAAAGGCACCAGATACATATGCGCCACACAAAAATATCATTTCATTTAATTGTATGAGGGTTTTGATACTGCCCCGGGTGCCCAGACTGAAGCAGGTGGTTTCCTTAGGGGGCCACACCCAGAGCCTTCGACCTGAAGGTCTAGTCCACAAGGCAGTGGAGCATCGTGAATAGATGCAGTCACATGATAGCCGATGATCAACGATTGGTTCGTACGCCATTTGTTCACTCAGGATACTGGAGCCCATGTGCACCATCGGTTTGGAATGAGGGTTTTCCAACTCCCTAGGTGGACCCTCCATGTCCATCAATCCGGTTAAAGCGCCGGACATTCGCTTTTCGTCCTCTCAATTTCGTAAACAACAGTAATGCCACGAGAAGGCAGTGAATAGGACTTCCTTGGCAGAGGCTATATACGCGTGGCCATGAGAGAGCATTTCGTGAGGGAGGGCGGACTCTCCCCACTCTCGGCCGTACCAGTGCATTTGGAGGCGATCAAATTATCACAAAAGTTACAATTTTTCAGTGTAGTAAACTAATCATCTGGGTTGATATTCTATAAGATAGGAATGTAGATGGTTCTAATAAAAAAATTATTGTCAATATCACAATTTGCGCTCTTTATGAAAGTTGCATTGCTACATGCAACTGATGGTCGAGAACAGATCCATGTGAAGTTAGGGGCTTCTGAAAACCGCAACCTTATTAAGCTCTGGAATATTCAAAGCTTTATATATCGTGCAGGACGAAGTCACCCGTTCCACATCTGTTTTTGGCGGCGTATCTCAAGGGGGCTGAAAAAGTGTGTGAGAGAAAGAAAGAATGAGAAGCAGAACAGACAATGTTCATGGAGGTGAGGATACAACGGATATTCTAGTTTTGTAACTAGCAACCAGTAGTATCTTCTATAAACGTTCGTTCCCAGATGAATAGAAACCAGAAGTCAGACGAGGAGAGACAGGAAAAATATATTTGATTCGTTACCGATATATCGAGAAACTTCGTTCTTAACTGGCTACTGTAACGTAGGAGCTGTGTCCCACACCGTGTTGCAACGTGATCTGGTGCGGATGCGTGACCAAAAGCCTTCAGCTAAACAAGTCCACTTAAACAACGTGGTCAGCATCCAATGTCGAACACTTAATGAGCTACTGATTTTGGGGAATTATTTACAGCTACAGAGTAATAGTTAAGGTGTGACTACTTTGTCTGTTTCTCTGTTATGAAGGTACATATTAGGCTAAAGCATTCTAATATGTTAAAGAAAATAAGCGTAAAATAGATATGATTGGATAACTTACCTATCATTTTCCATCCAAACTTGTCCTGAGCCTTCCTTTCCAGTTCTTTCCAGTTGCCATTCATCTTTTTCATATCGGCTTCTGTTTCCCGGCGTAGTGTGTTCTTTGGCCTTCCTCTTTTCCGCTTCCCTTCCGGATTCCAAGTTAGGGATTGAGTCGTGGTGCACATTGGTGATTTCCTCAATGTATGTCCGATCCACTTCCAACGTCTTTTCCTAATTTCCTCTTCAGCTGGAAGCTGGTTTGTCCTCTCCCATAAAACGCTGTTGCTGATAGTATCCGGCCAGTGGATGTTGAGTATTTTGCGTAGACAATTGTTTATAAATACTTGTACCTTCCTGATGATGGTCGTAGTAGTTCTCCAGGTTTCAGCTCCATACAGTAGGACTGTCTTGACGTTCGTATTAAAGATTCTGACCTTGAAATTGGTTGAGAGTTGTTTTGAGTTCCATATGTTCTTCAATTGTAGAAATGCTGCCCTTGCTTTGCCAATCCTCACCTTTACATCTTCATCAGGTCCTCCTTGTTTATCGACGATGCTCCCCAGGTACTTGAATGTTTCCACCTCTTCCAGAGTTTCGCCATCAAGTGTGATTGGGTTGGTGTTCTCCGTGTTGCATTTGAGAATCTTGCTTTTTCCTTTGTGAATGTGGAGACCTATCGATGCGGAGGCTGCTGCTACATTTGCGGTCTTCATCTGCATTTGGTCGTGTGTATGAGGGAGGAGGGCTAGGTCATCTGCGAAGTCCAAATCATCTAATTGATTCTGAGCTGTCCATTGTATTCCGTATTTCCCTTCAGATGTCGAATTCTTCATAATCCAGTCATTCACTAGAAGGAAGATGAATGGGGAGAGTAGACAGCCTTGTCTGACTCCGGTCCTTACTGGAAATGCATCTGTCAGCTGTCCTCCATGCATGACTTTGCACTGTAATCCATCGTATGAGTTTTGGATAATGTTGACGATCTTTTCAGGAACTCTATAGTATCGAAGAAGTTTCCATAATGTTCTCCTGTCTACACTGTCAAACGCCTACTCATAGTCAATGAAGTTGACGTATTGTGACGAATTCCACTCAACTGATTGTTCCACCATGATCCTTAGTGTCGCAATCTGGTCTGTGCACGACCGATCCTCTCGGAATCCAGCCTGATGATCCCTAAGTTCTGCGTCTACTGCGTCCTTCATCCGATTCAGCAGCACTCTGTTGAAAACTTTTCCTGGTACTGACAACAGCAACACACTCACATTTGCTCAGATCTCCATTCTTTGGTATCTCGGTGAGGTATCCTTCTTTCCAGTCCGTTGGCACTTGTTCCTCTTCCAAAATCTTCTTGAATAGAAGGTGAAGCATGTTTGCAGTTACTTCAATGTCTGATTTCAGAGCTTCAGCTGGTATATTGTCAGGTCCTGCCGCTTTCTCACTCTTGATTTGTCTGATGGCCATCTTGACTTCTTCGATGGTTGGTGGAGTGACATCTATAGAAAGGTCAGTGTGTGCTGCTTCGATGTCCGTTGGATTCAATAGAGCTGGTCTATTCAGCAGTTCTTCGAAGTATTCTGCCCATCTTTTCTTCTGTTCTTGAATCTCAGTGATTGTCTCTCCTTCTTCGTCCTTGACTGGTCTCTTTGGTTTGTTATATCTCCTTGCCAATTTCTTCGTTATATCATATAGCCGTTTCATATTCCCTTCTCTTGCAGCTTTTTACGCCGCCGTTGCTAGTTCTCCCATGTATTTCTGCTTGTCGGCTTTAATGCTTTCCTTCACTTGCTTGTTTGCTTCTGCGTAGTCTTCTTGTGCTTTGACTTTCTCTGCTCGTGTTCGGCTATTGTTAATTTCTGTTTTCTTGTTCTTCCTTCATTGAATCTTGTCCAGGGTTCCCATAGAGATCCATTCCTTATGATGATACCTGTCACTACCCAGAACCTGCTGACACGTTGAAGTTAATGCTTCTTTGATCCCTTTCCAGTTGTCCTCCAAAGTAGTTTCTTGTTCATTCAGTAGATCCTGTAGAGCTTGGAACCTGTAGTTGAGAGTTATCTTGAATTCATTGAGCTTGTCAATATCTCGAAGGAAGGCTGTATTGAACCTTTGTAGTGCTGTTTGTCCAGTTGTCCAGTCTTTCTTTAGCTTCAGTCTCATCTTGGCCACAACCAGGTGGTGATCTGAAGCTATATCAGCTCCTCTCCGGGTTCTAACATCTTTCATTGACTTGAATTTTTTATCGATACAAATATGATCTGTCTGGTTCTCTGTGGTGTGATCCGGAGAAATCTATGTAGGATTGTGAAGTCCTTTCGTGAGCACTTCTCTATAATTGATTGCAGCCTTTCATAAAACTGATCTTTATCGTCGTCGTTGCTATCATTGGTGGGTGCATAACATTCATTGTGATCCCTTCCTTCTTTGTTCTGAATGATGCTTTGGTTATCCTGGGTCCATGAGATTCCCATCCTATAAGTGAATTTCGTGCCTCTCTAGACAGCATTAGAGCAACTCCCTGAGTGTGTGGAGCATTTTCCCCTTCGTAACCAGAATACAGCAGCATCTCTCCTGTACCTAGCCTTTGTTGTCCAGTTTGTGTCCAATGGGTTTCGCTGATTCCGAGTACTGCCAAGTTGTATCTCCTCATTTCCATTGCTATTTGGCTGGTCTTTCCTGTCTCCCACATTGTCCGGACGTTCCATGTACCTATAAAGAGTGTTGCTCTGGTTGTTAGAAGGTGCATCGGTCTCGTGACTTCCGAAGAATTTCGGCTTTCATTATGAGACGTCATAATTATTTCTTCAACTCGGAGGGCAGAGTTTAAATGGTTTGAATTATTTTTTCTGGTTAGCGTTTTTTAGCTAGTTAGCTTTTCTATGGGATGAGGTCGCTAACCCCATGCCCAACCCTCCTTCTTTACCCGGGCTTGGAACCTGCAGTAACTCTAGAAGAGCTACGGGCGGAGTTAATAATAATTTGATGACGGCCTATAGAAAATAGAATCTTAATCAAGCATATTTACTTCGATATAACCGATCTGATAAATACACAATTAGGCAGTAAATCGTCGGACGGTCCATCGTGTGTAGTCGACTAATTTTTTTCAGTCGTTCTTTATCTTTAGAACGTCTTTCAAAATGTTCAAGACGCAGTGATCTGCCGTGTAACACAGGGACAGAAAAGGCGGTGTTACTTTACTCACTTCTAAAAAATCTTGATTGTATCCAAAGGCGAAAAGCGTTTTTTGTATTTATTTAGGTCAGATTTTCCAGTTGCTACTATCGTAAATAAATTGCGGAGCGAAGACACTGCTTTAGGTTCCAAATCTTGTTACAGAAGAAACTGTATCTGAAATAACAGAGGATGATCAAGCCCAAGCGAGGGTTACGGTGAATTCTTTTGGTATATATTTTAATCAGTAACCCCTACCAGACAAAGGACTAGACCCAAAAACGAAGGAACAAATAGTCTGCTCCCAATGACCTTCGACCGAGAGGATATGCTGAAAGCACTAAGTACTTTAGACGCATAAAATTCACCGGGACCGAATAAGCTATACCCTAAAATCATGAGACAAATTTCATAATATATTAATGCCTTGCTGGATACGATACTCAGTATGTCACTTCATCATGGTTAGTCACCTTCATACTGGAAGATTACAATTATCACTCCCATGCATAAAACAGGATCAAGACTACTCCCATCCAATTACATACTTGTCGGACTCACCAGGGTCGTAGTTAAAATGCTGGAGGGAATAACCAAAAAGACTAATAACATCTGAAACAGCAAATAAAGTGGTTCGAAATGGTTGACAACTCGTCGTATATACGTCAAATCTATTATATGACTTAATTCCTGTAAATAATCCAGGCGATTTTAACTATTTTGCTGGATAGTTTGCCGTGTTTTTTGATACTTCTTAATATTTATGCATTTTCACTTAGACTAGCTTTTCATATTTCGCACAAACCACTCCTCAAATGTGTTTGGTATAAGACATAATTAACGACTTTGTACTACAATATGCTGTTACAGGAAAACTCAAGACATTTGGCAGATTAAAAGTTTTTTTCTAATAATAATAATGATTTCACTGTATGTTTTGGATGGATTTGTTTTACTTCACTTCTGAACTTGCTTCTCTATATCTTTATCTTTCAACATTTGACTTTCTCTTTGTCATTGATTTGGTATTTGAAAGGTTTTTCACCGAGAACCTTAAAAATTGAAGACTTCTTTTGTAATTATATAACTATTGTTGAAACGACATTTGGGCCGACTACTTGTACTTTGCGAATAAACTTTGACGATTAAATTGGAGTTTGGTTCTATTGTTACTTATGGTTCGTAAGTCACAAGTCGATCGACATACCCTGCTTCAGTAACGGAAGAGAGCAAAAACTTGGACGTTACAACATACTACTATGAAAAAGTGTGCTGCTTACAGACGAAACATATTAGATTTAAGAATTATTTAACATTTATTAGTTCCAGTTACCTTTGACACAGTTATAATCTCACCAAGCTGACTTCGTATGAAAAGTCAATAGTATAAACCCCTCATATTCCTAACTGTAGTTCCACAAGTCGTCTCAAGCTTAGAGAACTTCTTCTGGCCAAGTTTATTGTGTTTACATTAATATATTCCTCATCAGCCAGTATGTTACCCTGGCCTGCACATGCAACGAATTACATTATTTTATTGTTATATCTCTATTCCTTTTAGATTTAACATACACTTGAATCGTCTTTAAAATTTACACTAAACCCATCGAAGTAGTTATTGCCCCACGTATTTGGGTTTTTGAATCGGGGCCTTCTTAGTTGCATAAAAAGACGTTGAACAAAATTCAGATGATAAAGTCGCCGAATTAAGATACTACCATGATACACTGATATAATGACTAAACTATCATGAATTTGTTAGTCAAACAAGCATTCAAAATAAACTCTGGAGCTCACAGTTATAATTAGCACTTAATAAGCAAATATTCCTGCATAGCAATTAGTAATGTAATAAAGCATCTCGGATCCGTTAATATAGAATTTACTATGTCCTACAGATAAAAACTAGTACTGTAAACGCGAAATTCGAGATCTCAGAGTCTATATGAAAGCTATAATCAGGATAGGGAAAACTTGGCTTTAAACTTTATCCGTTTCTAAACGTAAAGCAATTGGATTAGTACAATAATTAAAGGAATTACAGTCGTTCAGTGAAACTCACAAATATATCGACCAGTACTGCATGTCCTATCGAAGTGAATAAAAATAATGAGGCACACTTATACTATGGGGCTATAATGTCTTGCAAGTGGTAGGTCACATACAACAGGGATAGTTTACAGACACAGACAAGATTAACGTGATGCAAGCCTGAGCAACTATTCGATTGGTTATAGACATAACTAACAGTTGACGCTACTATTTTCCGATATTTTGGAACCATCAGAGACAATAACACCTGTTCCCCACTGGCTAATTCTCGGTCAACACTATAACGAGTTATTTATAATGGTTCTAGGATATCGTCATAAAGCATTATCATGACTTGACAGTCACGTAGGATGATTGATAAAACTGATTAAACTATTAGCAAAATCCGTCAACAAATTGACTTGTAAATATCATTAAATAGTGTTTTCTCGTTATCTTCATCCACTACAGATGATTAAAATATGTTTCCCTATCTATTGCTCACTCAGTAAACATCCTATGTCACAGATAGGGGTTTGGAACCCCATGGGCTGTAGAACCGGTATTTTCCACGTTAGATACTAATATGTTCACGAGAGTATACACTACCTCAGTGAGATCCATACTTGAAAACTTTGTTCAGGTGGCAATCCCTGTTTAAATGGTGTCTAGGATATCCTGAAAAAATTACAGACGGCAGCTACACTCACAGTACCAGAAACCTTGGGTTATGGTAAGAAAAGAGTATTGAAAAGCTAGACCCCTTTATCCTGTCCTACACCAGATTAACAGGTGATCTGATCTGTATCACTTACTATCAGATAAATACGACTCAAGGGACATAGCGAAAGAGTAAGAAATCCAAGAACGGATAAAATACCCGTGGCATACAGGTTTCCGCACCGGGTCATCAATTCTTGGAACCTGTTACCTGAAGCAATGCTATACGCACCTTCAATTGGCTAACTCAAAAGAACACCAGACACTCACAGAAGCATACTAGGAAAGGACTAACATAGGTCACATGTCTTCCATTCTTATTACACAAATCTAAATCTGAAATCTGAATCTGTTTTATAGATTATTTGAATACGGGTGTGTGACAATTCAAACGAACTCGAAGATTTCATAACCTGATAAACAGTTTCACATTACTATACGACTTAATGCATCTAAATTCGGGATAAAGGCAAAAACACGCAAACATTATCTGAAAAATATTTTAAAATGTCACCAGCAGGCTATTTTTACATGTTGAGTTGTTTGAGCGCACTAAGTGATGTTGATAGGGATAGCTTACTATTGTTTTATCATTCGAAATGCAGTTGAAAGACCGTTGCTTAGTTGTTGTCGCACTAATTACAGGTACCATATTACTCAGACAAGTCTTTTCGTTTCACATCTTTATACATTTTATAAATTTTAAAGTGAATTTTTTGCTTTGGTAGTACAAATTATGGAAATCGAAAATATTAACATTGTCTGTTTACATTCAAGGAAGAGCATTTATTCAGTACACAATGCTCTATTTTTTGTATTTTCGAACTAAATTTGTAAGTGACTTTTGGAAAGCAAAACCAAAAGCCAACTTTTTCGGATACGTCAAAATTCTCTCTATCCTTTTTTAAATTTTCTTGGTTTGAGAAGTATTTTACATTGAGAATTAGGCCTTCGCATCTATTTTCAGTAAACTAACCGTTTTGACTTATGAAATTTAATGCGTGTCACTGCCTTTATGTATAGACGTCCCGCCGTTTGTAAACTGGTAGACATAGTCTTTTGCATGAATGATGTCAACTCTTCGTCCATATATATATATATATATATATATATATATATATATATATACTGAAAAATTACAAAGATCAAGGCTAAGTCCCTGCAACGTGCTTTTTTTCTTTACGTGCTCTTAATTTTGTCACGACTGATGAATACTAGTAATAGTTATATCCAAAGTCTATATTAAGTTGTAATTAGGCAACGTCGAAATATGATTTTAAATAATAATGACTTCACAACTTTTCATATTCAGTTTTTGACTTTTGTTTTTGTACTTTTTGATGAATGCTCTCTTATGTTTACACTCAGTGTATGTTACGTGTAATATTCGAAATATGCGAAGATCAAAATAACTTTAATGTTTTGACCACACCTTTTCTTTAAGCTGATACTACTGATTTCGAAAAAAATGAGATAGAACACACTTAAGAGATTCATAAGCTCGACTCCTAAAAACTATAGTGACGAACCAGCCACCCCTGCTTAGGAAGTCAGTTGAAATCGCAAATGAATTGAGTGAAAGTACAGCTTGGGTATATTCATCGATTGACAAAGCAGCCCCCACATTTGCTGCACCATCGTGTAAAACAACATCCGCCTTCAAATCGTTTAGCTCGCTTCGCAGAATCTGATTGAATTTATCAGTCGTTATATGCGCAACAAACGTCTTAACTTTTGGAATAGGGTGAATAGATACCAAGTCTACCCTTATAATGTGAATAGTCATTGGCATTTCCTTGGCCGCTACTTGCAACCAGCCTCCAGGAGCGGCACATAAGTTTATTAGAACTTTGAAGGAATTTAAAAACTTGAAGCGACGATTTAGCGGGATCAACTTAAATGCTGCTCTAGATTGGAACCCGGTTTCCTTTGCAAGAAAATAAAACTTGTCCTTCCTCGACTATGGAATTCATTTAGCGTGTCTCAATCCAAGTCAAATCTTGTTTGTACGTTTAACAGAATAACACTAGTCATTTGCATTTATAAAGCATGGAAATTGATCGTTACTTACCAAAAATATATGGATTAATATTTTTCAGTTACATTCTCTGTGATTAGTATTCTCTTTTGAGGTAATCAGAAAATCAGCTCGTAATGGAGGTTTACTACGGGGTAGTATCTTTTGTGCTTCGGAAAAAATAGCTTGATTTAGGCCTCGGAGAACAAGTCGTGACCAATGAAACTGCTTTCACAACCTTAGTTCCCAGGAATATCGGATAAAGAATTTTACTACTTTGTGGATTCAGTACCCTTCTCAAATTATTTAGTCTCATAAGAATATGGATCAAAGCTAAAGAAGACTGCTAAAAATTCTGCTTCGTGTGTTGTAATGTCCCCCATGGTCCGTTAAATTCAACGGTGTAGTAGTGTGAATCCAAAAATATCGGCTAAAAAAATAAACAGTGCAGTTGTGACGATTCAAATCCTTCCGTTGTTGGTGTTAAAGACCGAGAGTTTTCAGTTTCCTGTGGCATACATGCATGCTGGGCGGATTAATACAGTAATTGATGTTTCAAATACTTTGAGAAACCATGTAATCTGAAGTTCATGTACAATTAATTTTATTATTTATATAATAACCTTAAAACTTCCTGCTTCAATAACTCACATGTTACTGATTAATTCTTTGTTTCCAAGGGCGTAACTTTCCTAATCGACCTATTCATCATTTAGTATGTGAGGCCAAATTCAATAATGAAGTTTTGTCAACTGATCCAGTTGAACATAATGAGGAACCCCAATTTGAACAGGAACTTGCTTGGGATTTAGATAAAACAAGTTTAAAACAACACCGTTTACAACGGAGTGCATTGAAAGTGACGGTATCTGCTGTTGATAGCCAATCACCAGTTAAAGAACCAATTGGATTTTTCATGTTAGATTTACGTTCATGTTCTACCGAAAAAGTGAATATTCTTTTAATCTCAACTCATGCAATTTTATTAATGTGTTTTAAAAGGTCTACAAATGGTATCGAATTCTGCATAGTAAATATAAAGGCAGTCCAGCTGTATTTGCTTCAATTTATTTAGATATTGAAGGACAAGAACTTGTAGCAAATCCAAAAATGAAAACAGGTAACCAGTTGTCAATTTTGTCCGTATTGAAGTTCGATTATTAGTATAAGTAGGTTTTCAGATAATCATTTATTGATTTCTGTCAGATTTTACTTATTGTAATCTTTTTGAAAAGACTATCTTGCGGCAAATATAGAATTCTCATCGACTGAAGTAATTTGGATATGCTTTTATACCTAACTACTGCCAACCTCGATAGTTAATGTTGCTTGGTGTAGGAGGGAGCTGAAAGGAAGTTAAGGATGTCCAAACCAAGACTTGACGTCAGTCCATGGACTAATTGATTATTAATCTAGAATATGGACTACCCGGTTGGCGTCGGCGCGATAACCGTTTTTATTGGCTACAGAGTTTGGGTGGCATGGTTTAGAGTTATTCACGATGGCGCAGATGCACTTGTTAGTTATCTTCCAATCATGAATTTCGGTAGTCCTTAATATATAACTTTCCTTTGCCTTTTGATACATATTCCTGATGTTAGGTCTTTTTCATCATAAGTGTTACTACATTATTTTAATCCCTGTACTACCCATCTTGTTAATTAAACGTTGTGGTGCTAATGTGGTATGGTAGCTTGGAGCAAATCATATCTATGTCAAGCTCGACGTTGATTATAGCCAACTGACTGACTCTCACATCTCAAATATATTTACCTGAAATAATGGTAATAAGTAATAAGTGATAAAAGTAAATATAATATTAATATTAGTTATATGGTCGAGTCGCCATATCTCAGAAGCATTGACAAATGAAATCAGTCACTTGTCAATAAACCAAAACATGGAGTAAAGATCCATAAATTCAAGATAGTGCATTTTGCGTTGATACAATTAGAAATATATATATATATATATAATTTGAACAGTTTTTTCTTCGAATTTATAAGGTTTGGCGATGAGCCTATCAGAAGCTGATTTAATACCTCGTGTTTATAATTCAGAAGAAGACAATCAACACTTTTCACTACCTACAACAATGACAAATATACAACCAACAAATATCACTTGGTATACAATCGGTCCAAGGCGTTTAGCAAAAGAATATTTTATGTTAACTTTTCAATTTGAAGAAGCTTTTAAATTAGAATCATTAATTCCAATTGAACAAAGTTTATGTTCAGGTGAACATATTGGTGGATTTCATTTTACATGTGAATTATTTGGTATTTCAATTTATTCTAATCAATTCAGTCAATTAATGCAAGTGAAATTCAGTCCAACCGAACAAACTTTCTATATTAAGTAAGTCTTTTTTATTTGAAAAGAAAATATTTAGCTATGATAAACTTCGATTGATTTCATTCACGAATTAAACACTGATTTCCAGCTAAATAAAGTAGGAGAATTTATGCTACAGTGCTAGAGTGTTTAATTCAAATAAATGGTAATGGGAATTTATTACATAAAACCAAACAAAATGTATTTTAACAGTTAAATTCACGAGTTAATCTAAGCTAAACCACCATTGGAAACCTGGAAGCGTTGGACGGCCGTTTCGTCCTATTATAGGATTCCTCTGCAGTGTGCATCCACTATCCCGCGTGCAGGACTTGAACCCTGGTCTTTAGGTCTCGCGCTCGAATGCCTAAACTCTAGACCACTCAGCCGGTATTTAATGGTGTTAATGTCTAACTTCGATCAATCCATAATCTTGATCAACCCTTAATCCATTGTCCGAAGTGGATAACTGTCTCACCTGACACATATTGGACTCCACTGGTTACTGCTTCTCACAAGCACTTCAAGAAATCCAGCTTGAAGCTAGTCGCTAGTGAGCACATGATTATTATCAGTATGGGGTTTGGCTCGTGAATTCGACCGTTAAAATGTTACAATCTACACAGATCGCCATACTAATAAATGGAAAAGCCAAAATGCATGAAAACGATTGAAACATCTTACAATTTAACAGAAAAATAAACGGCATGAAACATTATAAATGTCATGTTATGAAGTATATATTGACTTATGATAACATTGATGACTTACCCAGTCCAATTTACTACTATTGAAGTTATTCACTCATCGCGTAGTGCCATCTAAGTATAAACTTCACTGAAACCCTTGACCATTCTTACTAGCTGTTTTACTATTTAACCAATTTCAAGTTACCATATTCCATTAGCACAGTGAGATGAAATTTTCAGGTCAAATCGCAGAGTAGTTGAGGTAATAGCAATATCATTGGTAAGAGAAAGGACTTGGGATGGAAGACAAAATTTTAGTAGAAAATATAGATTGATGGAATGAAATTTATGGAACATTTGTAAACTTTGTATCTGAATAAAATAAGGGTTGGATGAATTTCCGACATCTCAATCGATTTTGAGCCATGTCATTCAGTTACAATGATCACGCAGACCTCACACTAATAGTACACGCTTGTTTACATTGTCCAGTCCAAACGCTATTGACTCAATGGACTGATGCCACGTTTTGGTTTGCCCACCCCTAGCTTTCTTTCAGTCTACTTCTACACCAAACGATATTCCTCATAACAGTAGGTTGTGATTGGGCATACATAAAATATATGCCAACCACTTCAGTTGATGAAGATTCACTATCTCATCAGTCAATTTACCATCATTACACACTACCCTAACCTCGTCATTGCTCATTCGGTAATCCCAAAATACTCAGACGATGCTTCGAAGATACCTATGATCAAATAATAGTAACCTATAAATAAACTTTATTATTAATGAACCATGAGTCACAGCCATAATGTAGAATCAAGCGAACTGTTGCATAGGTATACTAATTGATTCAGTATGATCGTGCACTGTGTTTTAAATATCAAACTGTTGACAAAAATTACAGTAAGCCTTACACAGAAGTTTTATATTCTTTAGAACCCTTTCAACAAGACTTATTTGGGAACCGTTTAAAAACGACTGGTGCTTGTGCAATTCAAATCCATTTCACATTGTTTCTAATTCAAAAACGTTACCAATTAGCTGTCTAGGTTAATCGGCATGAAATATAGATCTAGGATTTTGTTCTGATTGCTTTTCACCGGTTTACTGTAAATTAATCTGTTTTTCAGTTCTTGAGATCACATTCCTATTCAGAAACTCTCTAAGTGTGTGGAAACTCTTTAAAAAACATACTGGTGACTGGCACATTAGAAGCAATGACCAGTTGAATGTTTGTGACTTAAATAAATCTTTTGTATGTCAGTCATCTGGTGTCATGCTTCCTATATCCACAGGTTTGAGGAATAGCCGCGTTCCTACTTTCACTGAAACTTATGTTCGAAAATGTCTCCAGTCACTTAATTCATCCCAATGTTTAGGACCTGGAGGAATCCCAAAGCTCCTTTTTAAAAATGTGCTGACATTCTATGTTATCTATTCACGAATATCTTTAACAGATCCTTCTCAACCAATCTCATATCGAAAATGTGGAGAAAGACAAAGATAATCCCTATACTTAAGAAGGTAAATGGTGATAAGAATGTGAGATTTAAATGCATAGCAATAACTTCACCTTTCCTCAAAATAATGGAAAAATTATTGATACTCTCACTTCAACCTGTAATAAAAGAGCACATTGATCAGTATCAGTTTGCTTACAAATACAAAAGAAGCACCTTACATGCGATTACTCTTCTGCATCACAATATAGTGCTCAGCTTAGAAAAGGGCAGAAAATATGTTCGATGCGCTTTTCTGGACTACACTTCTGCTCTGATTCTATCCCAGGACAACTTTTACCTAACAAGTTAATCAGCGTCAACACTGACAGCTGGATAACAAGTTGTCTATATTCCTACCTCTCTGGAAGAGAACAGTACATTGTGTTTGGAGGAAAGTGTTCAACGTCTATACTGTCTCATGAAGGTGTGCTACAAGGAGCTGTTCTTTCACCTCTCCTTTTTTTGATGCAAAATCTACCATCTTCCACAGAAAACACTTTTGTGAAATATGCGAACGACCTCACTGTATGTATGCCAATTTCTACATTTTTACATCCCATAGAAATGAATGAGTTTTTGTCTCATATTGAACGGTGGTCTGTTGGTAACGGTCTCTTACTTAATCCGTTTAAATGTCAAGCTGTTAACTTTAGCCTGAGACATGGATATCACCTATACTTTATTTTGGGATCCCATAATGCTTGTGCCACTGGAGAATCCTTGATAAACACAGTGTCGAAGGTTAATTTCCCTGGTGTTACCTTTTCCTCTGAAATCTCTTGGTCTTCTCATGTTTTATTGTTATCGAAGAAAGTTTTCCGTCTGGCTTACTACATAAAGCGGCTGCATGCTTTTGGTATTATTCGACATTAACTCTTACAGTTTGTAAATTCCTGCATATTACCTATTATTCTTTACTGTTCTCCATTATTCCTTCCCGGGCTTCTGAGAAAAGACTTTTCTGTATTGCGGGGAGTGCTGAAGGTAGTTATCAAGGTAGGTGGTGAATCTTTTAAGGTCATTATAAATATGGTTGTCGATAGACACCTTCAGTCTTGTAAACTCCTGACAGGTGTTATCTGATCAGATACTAACCATCCCCTTCATTCATATCTTTCTCTTTGTATAACTTCTGGTACAATGAGACCTAAATACATCAAAATCCATGCACTCAAGCAAAGGTATAAAATTCCTATGATGCCTTACCTAGCAAATATACTCTGTGACGAACAGGTTGTTAGAGTTAACCTATTCAATAACTTGTATTCTTAAAGATGTCTAATTCGGAAAGTTGTACAGATTCAGATTGTTTCCACTTTTTTGTTGTTTTTTTTTATTTTGTAAAAGAAACTTGTTGAAATACCTCGTGCTGAAACTTCTATATCGTACCAAAATATAATATTGAATAAAGCCAATAATAATAATAATAACCAAATGTTCCCCAATTTTATGTATAACTAGCTGAACTAATTCGCTTAAGACTACAAGCGCTAATCAAAAGTAATGACCCAAATATTGCAGGCAATCAGAGTGATTTGTTTTCCTGTCAGAAAATAAAACCATTAATAATGTAATCAGAGTTATCTAGTCTATAGAGCATCAAATAATTCAAACCCGTAGATTTCAATTCACTTTTAAGACTAATTGTAATTACTTATAATATTGGTGAACATATTTCGAGAACCTTCTGAACAAACCTTCAGCAGTTAACACTATTCTAATAATCAAACAACTGTTTCCATTTATTAATTTAGAGAACTTTTAAAATCAGTAGTGAGGTGACTTCCATTCCTCAATGTGCTATCTAATTGTATGTTTTTCTTCTTTTCAGATCAACAGTTGACATTCTGCGTATTTATTTTGTGCATATTACTCCATTAATGATCAAATTTTGTTTTGGGAATCATGTATTAGCACATACAACAGTTCCAATAGAACAACTTATACCGTTGAATGATCATGTACTACAGAATACTGCTGTATTAAATAGAAGTTTTGATGTAAGACCCAATAGTTTACTCTTTCTTGTGCCAACTAAAATTAATCAGTTTTGTTAGTAATTAGTGTAAGAAACTATTGACTTATTTACTTACTTATTATCATATATTCACTTCGAATCTCCTTTCTAGATAGTGTCGAATATACATTCATTTTTACAACCAATGCAAGAGGTTGAGATTGTTTAAATTTTATTTAAGAATAATTTCTTGAAATAATACGGGTGTTCATCTGATACTATTTCATGATGATTCATTGGAATTAAAGGCTGCATAGCACAGATAAGATCATAAACCTGTAATATACCAGCGGAACGTCTGTGACTCAATAACAAGAGTTCGCACAATTAATCTTTTCGTGAGATGGACTGTCCATCTCTGCTTACTATACTTGTGAATTAAGGCTATATCGAGGCAATACGCACAGTATGCATATATGCCAATTAGAGACTGACCAGTTGCAGTCCTAACACATCGATGATAAGATTCAAACAAACAATACTAAATGAATTTAGATTGGAAGTATATTTTATTCATTAGAATTCCCAGTGTTTTCTTGCGTTTAACAAAAAAATCATTATTTCTCCATTTGTCCTATTTTTCATATTCATTTATAAGTTTAAATTTAATGTTTTACTATGTTTCCCATTATTTGCGTAAGCGATTTCAAGTAGCTCCGTTTCAATCATGTTATCTTCTTGTTACCGCTAAGTAAAAGAGAGTTCTTGAAACTTTCCGTCCCGCCTGTAGTGTGGTCTTTTTTCTTACAAACTAGTGTTCGTGAATGGTCTCAGAAGTTGTGATCTTTTTATCAGTTTCAGGTCTTTATCTCAAGTCTTATTATTGTTGTTTTAATGTAGTTAAAATCAAAGTTTCTGAGTTGATTTCAGATTTTAATTTTTTTCCTCTCTTTAGCTTATCTCCGAAGAATCTAGTCAACAGTCAACAGAATATCAAATTAAGCATACTGAAGATAAACCACGTGTCAATATAAACATAACACTTCGACGATATCCTGATACAAATACAACACAACGATCGACCATGACAACTAATATTAATAGTAACAGAAGACTGCGCAATATAACTGATTCATTAAATCATATTTCTTCACTGAATCTCGATCCATATGCAGATGTAAATACAATGAATTCGAATGTAAATGAAAATTATGGTAGGTTTATTTTATCTATTTCATTGAATAACTGTTTGTATGTTTTCTTATAGATAAGTCTGTTACTTCGTTACCGGAGGTAAGTATCCAATACTTACATTGTATCTTTTTTATTATTATTTATTGCTCTATTTTAAATATGAGTATAGTTTCACTAGCTTAACCAATCAGTAAGCTTTTAATGTCTGTGTAGAAATTCGCTTCTCACCGTAGATCAGTCCAATTAGAGATTTAGGTACTAGATTGTCAATCATTTGGTTAAAGGTTTGAACTGTGATGTATGTATTTCGGCTCCAGCAGCTAAATAGTGTCTCTAGTCCTTAAAAACCTGGTTAATAAGATAAATTTCTTCATGAGTAATTGCTTTACTAACTCGTGCGGAAATATTGACAATTTAAATGATATGAAACAATCAGTTTCTATCTCTCTTCATGTAACTTATTTACCAAGTACACGAATTTGCGTACTCATCTTCAATTTACATCGTTTGCGTGAAGATAAATGATACAAGCAGAATATCTAAACCGAAATAAGTGAATCGCTGGGTTCAAACTGAAGACCTACTGATTGAAAGCTAATTGCTTTAACGACGACGGGATTGATCCACAAATATTCAATCAATCTAGAATTACAGTAGACAGTGGAAAAAAACATTTATATTTCTCACAGTTATGTATTAGCTTAACTGAAAATACTTCACATCAATATACCAAAAAGCAATCAATAAAAGTAGGTACAAAGTAATGAAAATTAATGATATAAACATTTATTTAAAACAAGGAAGGTCTTTGTGAGAGAACTATCATATGAAATGAATAAGACGTAACACAATATGTTGTTCGGAATTCAGGATTTTTAGCTGACAGTTTTGATTGCCTCAATAATTCATTTACAAAATCTCAGTTCAACATTAATCAGATTTACAGATTTATGTGATGTCTTGATGTGACCATTCTTAGATAACTTTCGTTTCATCTTATGTGCCTCCAAATGCCCTGATACGGCCGAGAGTGGGGAGAGACCGCTTTCCCTCTCCAGATGCTCTCACATGACCACGCGTATATAGCCTCTGCCAGGGAAGTCCTACTCACTGCCTTCTCGTGGCATTACTATTGTTTACGAAAGTGAGAGGACGAAAAGCGAATGTCCGGCGCGTTAACCGGGTTGGTGGACACGGAGTGTCCACCTAGGGGAGTTGGAAAACCCTCATTCCAAACCAATTGTGCACATAGGCTCCAGTATCCTGAGTGAACAAATGGCGTACGAAACAATCGTTGATCACCGACTACCATGGGACTGCATCTCCTCACGATGCTCCACTGCCTTGTGGGTTAGACGTTTAGGTCAAAGGCTCTGGTTGTGTCCCTCTAAGAAAACCACCTGCTTCGGTTTGGGCACCTGTGCAGTATCACAGCCCTCACACAAAATGTGTGGCGCATTTGTATCTGGTGCTTTCTTGTACCAATATTTATGTGTTTAAATAAATAAATAAAAATCATCTTATGTACTATGTTTAGGTGAACTTTGATTTAGTGGAATAACTAATAACACACTGTCAACGTCATTTCACAACTTCGATAGTGTTATAACTCAATAGCTTATAATTTACAGTCGTTATTCTCTTGAATGAAAAATATTTGGAATTAAATTAGTATTGCTTCTTTGAATCTTCCCATCGATGTGTTAGGACCGCAACTGGTCAGTCTCTAATTGGCATATATGCATACTGTGCGTATTGCCTCGATATAGCCTTAATTCACAAGTATGGTAAACAGAGATGGATAGTGGCTAGCAGTGGAATCCAGGACGCGCGTTTCGTCCTAATTAACTAACTAAATTGGCACATGTTTTATTTGCAGACTATTCTCATTTCGTTATTATTAAATAGTACGAATAAGTATTGAACACAGATGGCGGTCTATTGTTCTTTTCTTTTATATAATTAACCGGTACATGGTAATTTAATTATTCGATGACACGATCATCTTCATTTGTTATTTAGATACTTATGAAAACTTCTAAACACTTGAAATTATCTGTCATCTGATTTGACGTTTGTCATTATTTCAAACAATTAAAGTATATTTTAAAGTTTCGTTTAATCATGTGTTGAATCACCATGTCAAAATAATATATAGTAAGCAAAGATGGATAGTGGCTAATAAAGAAAGCGAAAGGTACTGGGTTCGAGTCCCAGAGTGAACATCAACTCTGAAATGCAGGTACATCCAGCTGACGAGTCCCAAATAGGACGAAACGCGCGTCCTGGATTCCACTGCTAGCCACTATCCATCTCTGCTTACCAATATTTGGAATTGTTTAAATTTCAATCACAGATATTATCCTAATACAGTTTTTACATTTAATTTCTTCTGCATACTTGGCCCCCAATTTTTGTCAAAATGTATTTACGAATTTCGATGAACATATTCATACAAACTATTAGTTCGGTTCAGTATTTAGATCAAAGAATAAAATAGAATCTATGATTGTATTTATATCATTTTGAACTGATTTTTCTGTCATTGATAACTGTACCGGTCCGTGACAACGTCACATATAACCTACTGAAAATATATTTCATCATTACGTTTAGCTCTCCTATGATTATGCTTACCTTCCTTATGCACGAGAACTATCGTGGATAAATGTGAAGTATTTTGCATATATGTATTGATCATATTGATTGACTTTGATTAAAAGTTTTGTGGAGTAATGGGCTACCTTTTTATTCAGTTACTTACGTATTTACTCGTGTTACCCCTCGTGGAAGAGCATGGGCGCCCACCATGATTCTCTATCGAGTTTATTCAGTTGGTGCTTCCTTTATATGTAAGTTAAATATCCACGCTACACGTAGTTAGGATGCCGTAAGCTCATATCATCTCTACCTGGAAAGAATTCCTGTAGTATTTTGTGCAACAAAATTGACTAAATCATACACCTATGCTTGAATGTGAGCGTGTATGTCTAGAAAGTACTGTAATATGTAATAATATGCACATATGTTTGGCCTTATTTCTACATAACAGAACTTTCGTGGCTATCCCAAACAGTTATGTATTTTAGATAATGGGCTTAAGCACTCAATTTATTTTTTTCTGTATAACATCATACCGTGTATAAAAATCTAAGATAATGTTTTTTGGGGATAAATTCCTTCACAGGGAAGAACACTTAAACAATGCAGTAGAACAATTGAACGTGATGACTCTATATGTCCATCAAAACTACTGAACTTTTCTCAGTCAGTGGATGGTACACCAAAGTGGCGTCGTTATTGTTACACTATTGAATTAAGAAGTGTAAAAAATATTCAGGGTTTCGATCATGAGTTGCAGCTTTACGCCAGGTATGTGAAACTTTATTTGACTTGGGCTATACACTACTGATATTTTTAAATAATTAGTGGGGTTCCCTAAATGTTGTTACTGTTAAACAATGGGGACTTTAGATAACTTAATAACAAGTTGAGACTAAGTTTTTTTTTAAAATGACTTTTTAGGTAAGACAGTGTTGTTCTCAACAAATCATCCAGTGCTTCCAGGTTTTCCATGGTGATCTAGCTTCAATTGACTCATGATTTCAACTACATAAAATTACTAAAATCTTCACAAAACCTCCTGAAAATTATGTAATTATTTAAAAATAAATGCACAACACTTTGTCAACTAACATTGCCACTTACTAAAGTACATTTAGAGGGAAGAGAGGTTTTTGCGGAAAGAGATTATACTGTAACGATGGTGATTATTGTTTGCTATATTTGTTTTTATTTAGTATTTCAATCAAAGGAATTTATACAACTCATCAATAGGTTGCTAATATTTTAGAAGCTCAAACAGATTTTGTGCATATAATCACTAGGAGTTTAAAAATTAGGTTCCAATGTTTTAAAGGAGGATATTCGGTTGTATCACCAGCTTTCTGGCATTAATGCAGAAAATATTATCGAAGTAAACGTTTGGGAATTGATGTTCTTATTGTTTTCATTCTTCCTTCAAAATTTTATGTGATTAGACTCACCAGAATAATAATGCAGCCAAAATCGATGTCAGTTATAAGACTGTATTAAGTTCTCGGAATTTATTTATGCGTAACTCAATGAATAATTCTACGGTTAATAAATAGTTAGTTTACGTTATAAATTTGCATTTGCAACCAACAGCAATAGTGTATACTCAGTACAGACAAAAGCAAAAACGACTTATTTCATGTAGTCGAACAAATAAAGAGAACACTAAAAAGTAGGTAAATAAGTCGTTGGATTACTGTCAGAAAATAGTGTAACGGCAAGAAACTGTACAGTAAAATATTAGTTATTTTTATGTAACATAGAACTAAGAAATTTCCAAAAAATCTGTATTTCTCGAATGATCATGACAGTGGTTTCTTAATCATTCTTCTTGCTACACGGACAAAAACATAAATACTATCAGGGATCTCCAATCACCTAACCTGATATGTTCTCTTCCGGATTAGGCTGTTGCTGATGGTATTCGGACAGCGGACATTGACTGTCTTAAGTAGACAATTGTTTAGAAATACTTGTACTTTTTTGATGATGGTTGTAGTAGTTCTGGAAGTTTCAGCTGCGTACAGTAGAACTGTCTTGACGTTCGTATTGAAGATTTTCACTTTGAAGTGAGTTGACAGTTGTTTTGAGTTCCATATGTTCTTCAACTGTAGAAATGCTGCCCTTGCTTAGCCAATCCTTGCCTTTATATCTGCATCCGATCCTCCCTGTTTATCAACGATACTTCCCAGGTACGTGAATGTGTCCGCCTCTTCCAGAGCATCTTCATCAAGTGTGATTGAGTTGATGTCCTCCATGTTTTATTTAAGGACCTTGATGTTCCAATGGGTAAGTTGAGGCCTACTGATGCAGCTGCTACACTGGATATCTTCACCTGCATTTGTTGGTCCTTATGGGATAGAACGGCAAGGTCATCTGTGAAGTCCAAATCATCTAATTGATTTCGAGATGTCCACTGTATTCCTTGCTTCCCTTTACCTGTCGAGTTCTTCATAATCCAGTCAACTATAAGAAGAAGGAGAAAGGAGACAGTAAGCAGCCTCGTCTGACTCGGATCCTCACTAGGATTGTCTGTGAGCTATCGTCCATAAACGACTTCGCAGTGTAGTCTGTCGTATGAATTCCGTATGATGTTGACGTTTTTCTCAGCTAACCACATCCTAGTAACGAAGAATGTCTCATGAGGTTCTCCTGACCACACTGTCAAATGCCTTCTCGTAGTCAATGAAGTTGACGTATAGTCACGAGTTCCATTCAGTTGATTGTTCAACAGTGTCACGATTTGGTCTGTGCACGACTGGTCCCTAGGGAATCCGAGCTATTTGTCGCGACGTTGGACTTCTACTGTGTCTTTCATCCCGTTCAGCAACAAGCTGCTGCAAACGTTTCCTAGTACAGATAGTAGTGTGAGGTCTGTGTAGTTCGCACACTTGCTCAGATCTTTTTTCTTCTGTATCTTGATGAGCTGTCATTCTTTCCAGTCTGTCAGTGGCACTTGTCGTTCCTCCCAAATCTTCCTGAATAGAAAGTGTAGCATACTTGCAGTTACTCCAATGTGTGACGTCAGTGCTTCGGCTCGTATGTTGTCGGGTCCGATTGCTTTCCCACTGTTGAATTGTTTGATGGCCATCCTGATTTCTTCGATTTTTGATGGATTGAAAACTGGGAGAAGGTCTGTGTGTGCTGCCTGGATGTCCGGTGGATTCAATGGAGCTGGTCTATTCAAGAGTTCCTCAAAGTGTTCCTTCCACCCATCTGTTCCTATGTTCTTGAATTTCAGTAATTGCCTTGCCTTTTTTGTCCTTGACTGGTCCCTCTGGTTTACCATATTTCCTTACTAGTTTCTTGGTCGTGTCGTATAACTGTTTCATATTTCCTTCTCTTGCAGCCTTTTCCACTGTCGTTGCTAGCTCTACCAAGTATTTCTGCTTGTCGACTTTAATACACTAACTCCCATTATTGAAAATCATCTGACAGTTGGTTGAATTTAGTCCCGTGAACCTCATCATCTTTGTTTCAGACGATGAGAATTCAGCATTTAAACTCAGTGGTTTAAGGGAATACAACCTCATTTAATGCATTCACCCATGCTGAATATTTTTTCCATCACTTTTATTTATGTTCTTGCAGATATGTATATCCATATTTCCTTACTAGTTTCTTGGTCGTATCATACATTTGTTTCATATTTCCTTCTCTTGCAGCCTTTTCTACTGTCGTTGCTAGCTCTACCAAGCATTTCTAATTGTCGTCTATAATGCTTCACTCAACTTGCTCGTTTGATTTTGTGTATTCAGCTTGTGCCTTGATGTTCTCAGTTCTTGTTCAACTGTTGTTAATTGCTGTCTTCTTTTTTTGAATCTTGTGCAGGGTTTCCATAGAGATGCATTCCTTATGATGCTGCTTGTTGCGGCACAGCACCTATAGGCAATTTGAAGTTCTTGCTTCTTTAATACCTCTCCAGTTGTCCTCCATAGTAATTTGTTCTTCCTTGAGTAGATCTTGAATGGCCTGTAACCTGTTGTTGAGAGTTATGTTGAATTCGTTGAGTTTGTCAGTATGTGGAATGAAAGAGCCATGAGATCGCCGTCCTATGAGTGCTATTAGGGCTTCTTTGAACAACATCCGAACAACTTTCTGAGTGTGAGGAGAATTTTCTTCCCTATGGTCAGAGTACAATAACATCTCTTTTGAATTTAATCTTTGCTGTTCATCTTAGCTCCAATGGGCTCAGTTTATTCCGAGGATGATGAAGTTGCATCTCCTCATTTCTGCTGTCATTTGACTTGTCGTCCAGGTCTTCCACATTGTCCGGAAATTCCACGTACCTGTATCAATTGTTGCTGTGGTTGTTAGAAGGGGCATCGGCCTTGTGACTTCCGAAGAATCTCGGATTTCATCATTAGGCGTCATAATTCTTCTAGATGAAGATGTATCAACTCGGAGGACAGAGTTTAAATACCTTAAATTGTGTTTTGTGGTTTACGTTGTTTTAGCAAGTTTTTTTCATACGGGATTGGGTTTCTGACCTGATACCCAACCTTCCCTCTTTGTATAGACATGGGACCGGTAGTAACCCTATAAGAGCTTTTGTTGATATTTAGGACTGCAATTATTCAGTCTCGGCTGCTAACATACTTGGCTGTTAACATACTGTTACTATGGGATCTCAAGGTCTTTTAGCTACTATAAAACCCCTGTTTTTCTGTACATAATGGAACCTTGTAGTAAAGTGATTCTCTGATACTCATGTCTTCTCTCTGGTCTTTCAAGTCGCTGAGTAGTGCTAGCCTGGGGTTATCCGAATAGCTAGGATCCGAATAAAGCGTTCAACTTACAAGTCATAACATTGGCGACGGGGATTTTGGTAAAGAAAAAAAAAACATGAATTGGGACGTGATTTTGGCAAAAAAAAATACTGCAGTCGGTAACGTATTTTGGAATTAAATAAGCTTTAATAATTGCCGGCGGTTTTTGGAGTTATTATTAGCAGTAAAAAAATGACGATTTTTCTGGAACAGTTGCAGATAATATCAGAGCACCAGCAGATGTTAAGCTTCCAGCAGAAACTATTTGAAACATTTTTGGACAAATTTTTCACTAAACAAAACGTCTCAGGAAATAAAGAATTTATTTATAATGCAGATAATGGTGCGGAAAAGGCCGTCTCAGAAGAACGCCAAGTTGAGGGTTCAATTCCCTTTATATCTGACGGAAAATGCAAAATTGTTAAGTTGGCCGGTTCAGAGCAAGACAATATCTTGCCTAATGCACATGAAACTGTGACAGTATCAGATGAGCAAGAAAAAGAAGGTTCCGCAGACAACCCCAGGAGTCCAGAATCAAATGAAACACCATTAAGTCCGCCCATATCTGAAGACAAACTTAAGTCAGAACAGAACTACAGTTTGCGTGATGTTGGCCAAGAAAACTGGAAGAACGCATGTCCAGAAAATAACTGGAACAGTGCAGTTAACCAAATTGCGCCAAATGTGATTCGAAATCATGGGGAGACAGAAGCCTATAATATGGGTTCGCTTAATGATGCCCATAATTCTGATGAAATTTCGTATAAAGATGAGAAAACTAAGTCGGTCGAATCAGATGGTGATCAAAAATCTAATGCGAATTTATTAGATGCCGATTCTCCTAGTTATCTAATATCCTCTAGTGGAAATCTTAATGAATTTGATGGAGATGTTTCAGAAAAGCCAAATTCCGATGACCTAAAATCAAATATCGTTCATCATCATCTATTCATTTCTAGTGGATTCTGCATTCAATACGAGAAATGTGTTCTAAATAAAGTCATATTA